CAACATGATGTATTGTTTACTATGTAAATGATTGCCTATAAATTAGAATATTTATTATTTGAAATGTTATTATCGCATTTCTTGTTGTTTTGTTTATTCTTTTAATAATTTTAAAATAATGTTTTCGTTTAATGTTCACTATTTATGAGTATTGGGTATGGTGTGTTGAGTATTATTTTTGCAAATTGTGAATGAAAAATATTATTTTATAACAAAAAATAAATAAAAATATTTAGAATATTTTCAATCTATTTTTTTTTTCATTTTAAAATTTACATTTAAAAATATTTGAAATTGAGATATAGGCCTACAATTTTCGTGATTTAAATCATAAACAAACCATGGTATAAATAAGAATATGCAAATAATTGTATAGATAAAAAATATGAAAATCATACAACAGATAAACAAAAGAAAATAAATAAAAATAAGCAAGCATATGACGGTAGAAATCCCTTTTATATAAATCATCAAAGTTACAACGACGATGTCGTTGCATAGAGTAATGTTGATGCTCAGGGCAAGTGTATTTACAATACGCATAGTGTGGTTAGCATTTTACATTGTTATTTATGTATCATCATGATATATATATATATATATATATATATATATATATATATATATATATATATATATAGACAGTGTTCCACCCCCTCCCACGTTACTTGTACTGAAAGCTTACAACACCTCTATGCGTTAGTATAAACTTTGTAGTTTGGACTAGTTATAGATTACCAGAAGAGGAACCTTTAATTTTATTTTTTAACCTTTTTTTATCTCACAGTATCTGCTTATCTATTTGTTTGTTGGTTTGTGGATTTTAACTCCATTTTGACCCCCTTCTGATGCAGCGATCTCGTATAAGTTTTCCATGTACTTTTGTCTCAGATGGCAACGACAAGTATCTTATTTTATTCTAAAAACGAATAAGACTAGTCATTAATACAATTACTCTATTGGAACTGACGGCACATTGAGCATAGTAGAGTTCACCTATAAAAATAATGTCAGAGATTTTCCGCCTTCAAAAGTGTTTGACAAAAACAGAAATGAATATTCCATTACTTATATGTCTAATAGTTTTACTTGCTGCATCGTCCTCATTAGCATCTCAAAGTCGAACATTAAATTGCAACTGTGCTATTACACCACTGAATAACAATTCATTTTATTAAATATCGAGGGGACATTCATACCACTTGTTACTACCTCAATGTCTCTCTCATTTTATCTTTTGTTAATGGACAACGTCTTACACACAGTATACTTTTTATTTCTTATAATTTATTAAAAGCTACATTTAATTAAATTCTTACTGTAACGAAAACAAAGAAATCTAAGCACAACTTTAAAATTTGAAACAATACTAAACATAATACTTTTAATACTATTCTGCATATTGTTGAGAATTAAATTACTAACTGTTGTATTTCGATTGCTGTGTATTAAAACCTTATGCTTCAGATTAGACTGAATATTCCCGTTGCTATTTTTGTGCCACGTTAAGTCGCTTACGATCTTCATTTCTCCTAATGTATTGCGTTGAATGGAGTCAAGCTGTTGATATAATGAGCCAATAATTATCAAACGTAAGTCTGATTTCTGTTTTAAAAGCATAATAATCTTATAGATCTGTTCTTGAAATGTGTATGTCTTTAAAGTAATTACCTGATCATTAATACTTATGTATTTAATATACAATGTTTTGAGGCTAAAGAATAATACTAGTTTTATACAGGGTAAGTCAGTCCTGGAGGTTCGTCGGAAATCAAGAAAAACACCTAAACAAAAATTATTTTTATGTTTCTCTTAAGAAGGGTTCGCTGAATGCTCATATGAAGCTCTTAATTAAGGTTAAGAACAACTGTTCTAAATTATGTTTTTTTTTAAAGAATTACATCTATATTTTTGCTTCAGGAACACTCATACAAACTGATTAATAAAAAAGTGTTTAAAATATTTAGTCTGATTGGATTTACCTTTTACATGACAAAATGTCTGTGCGAAAATAGTATCTTAATTAATTTGTTAATTGAAATTTCATAAGCAATGTTCCTCCCTTTTCCTCCTACCCCTCCCCTTCATGTTTATTTAATATTTTGTTGAGGTGACTAAGTAAAAGGGTCACTGAAATCAACATAAGTTATGAGTATTGTTGTTCGTACACAGATAATTCCACTCGCTAACGTGGTATTCGTGTGGTTAAACGGCTTTAAAATGTGTATGAATAAAACAAACTATTTTTCTCAGACTATTCTCCTTGGATATTGAAAAATATTTACAAATACACACATTGAAAATAAATGTATTATTTATAATAAAAAATAAGAAAAAGAAAGATCGTTGTTTTTATTAGATTTCATAATTTCCTACTAAAACATATTTCCTCACACGAAAGAACCAAATAAAATGTGTTTTTACTTCTTCTAACGTATTTTACTCTTCATTTTATTTAAAACATAATTGGGCAAACTAACTTTGTCAATAAAACTTCCTTACAAAACGTAAATTATTGATTTTTTTCGCCTGCAGACGTCTTTCAAGAATGTGCTGGGTGTTTAACATTGATCTTTCAGCTTTTCAGTGTCAGGTCTAGAAGCGACTAAATGACACTCTCTTTGTATTTTACTTTCAGCTTATGTAAATAAAATATTGATCTAATCGCGTATATCAGTTCAAATTCAATTTGAAATGTAGATTGAAACTTTGGTAAAAATAGCGCACTGGTCTAGCGATGATTTATGTTTAGCAGATATTCGATCAATTCTTGCATGATTTAGGCAAACTTAAATACCTTTAAATGCAATGTTACACACAGATTTATTTATAATTGATATAATTATATCTTATATAGTGAAAAAATGTTTGGTTATGATATCAAATTAGAGATGAGCACAAAACTAATCGAGTATATCTATATATATAATTCTCTTCATGGAGACCATAGAAAACACCACGCAACGTAGCCACCACCCTCATCCCCACCTGTCAGGTGAGCTGTGGTTCACCCCGAATGTTAATCGTATAGCCGAGTTAGTGACGACTATTAGGGGCAGATAATTTAGTATTAAACAATTTGAAACGAAGGGAAGGTAACGATTTCTGATTGATCTTTTCTTTGTCTGAAAACGGCTGCTTTTACTGAGCAGGAGGGGGGGAGAAGGGAGGGGGTAGTGTTAAAATCACAAATTATGAATTGCTGATAAAGAGAAAATAAAACAACTAGATGGCGGCGTTTACTACGTCGCGGGTCAGCTCGCTATATTATAATCTATATATATAATTCTCTTCTGGGAGCCGTTAGAAAACAAGCTGCAAGCGCCTCCTTGCAGTCCCCTCTCTTTCTCTCTATCACTATCACTACCACCCCCACATTATCTGGTGAGCTGTGGTCACGCTAAATGTTTACAAAGGTAAATGTTTACAAATCGTAGAGCCGGGTTTCTATTAGGGGCAGATAATTTAGTTCGATTTTAAACTTACAGGAGGTAACTAAGAAATAACTAAGAGGAGGCTGCTTTCACCGGGGGGGGGGGGGTGTAGGGTCGGGGTTATGGGAAAGGGGGGGGTTAGTGTTTTAAAGCAAATATTTTCACTGTCGAATTCACAAATTATGAATTACTGAAAAGTAGAAAATAAAACAACTAAATAGCGGCGTATGATACGCTGCGGGTCGGCTCGTTAAAGATAATTGTCAATGTTTCATCACCGATTTGTGTCTTCTAGGCACTTAAGAAAACAAAACAATTATATTGTCACTACACAAAATAACAGTGGTTTAAAAAAACATTATAAAATAACATTTCTTGTACATAATTAGATATTTAAATGAATTATGTTATGAAAATTAAAAATTATAGACTAGGGAAAGCAACAACATTCAAATTTTACATATGAAAAATCTCGCTACCCCACATCCCACACAATCCACAACCAATCACTAATCACACAATATGCACACCAATAATCCCAATAAACCACAGCTTAACACATACATTAACCCACACCACTAAATACAAGGAGTAGACCAAACCACAAACGAACCCGGGCAAAAACCCGAACCACACCGTCCCACACACCTCACCCGACACGACAACATAAACAGCACATCGAGTCAACCCCCTCACCATAAACCCCTCACACCCCACGCCAACCCACAACCCCACGCCAACCCACAACCACACGCCAAACCACAAACACACGCCAACCCACAACCACACGCCAACCCACAACCACACGCCAACCCACACCTAGAACCACACCACCTGCAACATACACCACACATTAAATCCACATCCATCGACTCGAACCCCCACACCATCTATACCACAACAACCAGTTTGTGAACACGTTTTGAAATAGATTTTATTACTACTACCACCGTGTTGATATTATCAGCCCAATACGGCTGTTTTAAATCTACTTTTAGTAAAATTTATATATCCTATAGTATATGATATATATATATATATATATATATATATATATATATATATATATATATATATATATATATATATATATATATATATATACTGTGAGCTATCACTGTATTTTTAATCGAGCTCATTAAAACAAATCAGAGTAGAAAAGCACTATGTTAAACGGGCTATTAATATTTTTTACTGGTATTTTTTGTTTACTGTTAATTAGGAAAATAGTAACTGCGGATTTTTTTTAGTCGGTTAAAAAATTCGTTTGATAATATTTTAAAATAACCTGTAAACAAAGCTAAACTTATGAGTAGAGTGTTTTGCAAGTAATGCTTTTTTTAAAGAATGTACAGCCTTAATATTATAAGCACAATGCGAATTTTTGTTAATATTTTCACGCAATAAGAGTGTATTGTTTTATATTTCAGCTTACAAGTGATCCAAATGTTGTCTTTCTTGTGAGGCAAAAAGTGTGATTCAAAATAGCAATATAATTTAAATATAAAATTTGTATTATACTCTGAATATTACTATTAAGTAACCGTATAAAAAATATCATTGAAAATGAGTAGCTGTCAACAAGTTCAGAGTATATACATAGCTGCTATACACGGGGATTCATTGAGTCTACAGAATACCAACTTAAACAGCAGAAATACGAATGGCAATACCGCGTTGATGCTGTCTGTTTACGACGGCAATATATTTGCCCTAAAACGTTTATTGGCGGCAGGAGCTGACCCTAACGTATCAAGACAAAAATCTAAACGTATCACAGCATTGACCATAGCTGTGGGAAGGCGAAGGGTTGAATGTGTTAAAGAACTGATCAGGGCAGGAGCTTTCTTTGATTGTGATCGAGGGTTGGAGGCTTTAAAGATGGCGAAGGATCACAACTTTTTGGATGCTGTTGTGGAAGGGGATGAAAATATGAGATCTTTGCCTGAATTTGAAAAGACGGATGATGCTTTTCATGCGGCTTATTACGAAGAATGTTTTGATTTGCTCATAGATCTTATTCACGCTAGAGTTACTTTAAATTTATGGTCTATAGACTTTGAAGATTTCGCAAATTATGATTTATTTAAAGCATTATACAACTCACCGAAAGCAAATTTAAATGAATCAAAAAAGGAAGGCTATAATATTTTACTAAAAGCAATAGATGAAAATAAAAAACAAATTGTTAAAAATTTTATCCTATGCGGGGCTAACTTGGAGACAGTTGATGATTATGGTAATACACTTCTGCATATTGCTAGTAGGTCTCACGCTGAAATAGTGCAATTACTTTTGTAAGCTGGAGCAAAAACGGATGTGTACAATCTAGACAAGAAAACACCACTGATGGAAGCAATTTGTAGTTCGGATACCAAATTTCATAGTTTATTTTGAAGTATTGCATGGATCTGACGGTAACGGTCAAAGTGTATGTCCAAAAGACAGAAATCATGTAAAAAGGGATATAGTGCAAAAGCTACTTGCAAAAAACGCAAATCTTGAAATGGTCGACAAAGAGTTAAACACTGCACTTCATTTAGCAAGCAGTCGAAGAGGTGAACTTGTAAAATTACAACTCTAAAAACCTTACACCTTTTTATTTAGTGTTTACAAAAGGAGATACCTCAACTATGAAACTACTTGCACATGCAGGTTCTGATGTTAACTGTCGCGATGAGAAAAAACGAACTCCCCTAATAAATTCAGTAATAAACTTAGATGAAAAATGACAGAACTTTTACTAGAACTAGGTGCTGATACGAATATCGTTGACGCTGAAGGAAAATCGGCTCTTATGTGGGCGGTTAAAAATAGTACCAGCAGCAGCTGGATGCTAAATCAACGTCTTGATAAGCTGATTCAGCGTTTTGTAAATTTTAATTACGTTAATCCAGAGCAGTCCACAGCATCATTAAACGCCATTGCCACGGAAAATGAAACTATTGTTTCTAAATTAATTTCAGCAGGCGCGAGTGTTAATTTCAAGACAAAATATACGTTGAAAATATACGGATATACACATGATATGAGTTCCATTCCGGAGCTTTTAAAACATCACATGACACAAATAACCCTAGACTCTAGTGAAAACAATACACTATTACATTTCGCTGTTGCAAACGCATCTTACCCTACCACCAAGTTGTTATTAAAGTCAGGGGCTGTGGTTAACGCTGCTGATGAACACGGAAGAACGCCTTTACATATCGCATCTCTAAAGGAAAATATTGAGATTGTAAAAGAGTTGTGTGAATTTGGAGCAGATTTTAACGCATTGGATCGATTTGGAAATACCCCATTTTTCATTTCAATTGTATACAAACACAAAGAATTAACCAAATATTTGTTTGAATATGGAGCTGATGTAAACTTGATATGTTATTCTCTATGCTCGCCTTTATATGTTGCTGCTTTGTATAATGACATGGAGCTTGTAAAGTTGATAATCGAACAAGGCGCATGCTTTAATACAGGAAAAAACTCAGAATTAGTGTGTGCTGTAAACAATCATAACATTGACATGGCCATTTTTTTATTAGAAAACGGCGCCGATCCTAACGTAAAAGATCAGACAGAAACAGAAACACCGGCATTTAATTTAGCGTTCGATATTAGAAGCTGTGAAGCTAATACTTATAGTTTTTCTAATGAATCAGCTGATGAAGATTTATACGATGGACATATTACAAGATCAAGAAAAAAACTTTATTGGACAGAGATAAGTTATTCAAATTAAGAACTTTGATACAAACGTTTCTAGACCGAGGGGTAAACATTTTGTCGACAGACCGTGATGGTAGAACGTGTCTACACGAAGCTTCAAAATATTTCGGTGCAGGTATATTAGATCTGATCATTGCTAACAAAGTAGACGTGAATGTGAGAAATACCAATGCTGGGACGCCCTTACTGGAAGCCTGCAAGTACGGTAATGCCTAGGGAGTAAGTATATTAATAGCATATGGAGCTGATGCACTATTGGTAGACAAAAACGGAGACTCTACTCTCCATCATTTGGCTCGATTAGATGAAGAAATGTTAGCTGAGTTTATAATGCTGGTAAACTCAGTGCACCTGAAAACTCGAGTGGACAGCGATCAACAGGAGACTGATACACATTTAGTCGAAAGTGATAAAGTCAGTGAAGAAACATCAGCTAAAGAAACAGTAGTAAAGAGTTATGAGCTAATTAACTTAAAAAACAAAGTCGGCGAAACTGTTTTACACGTGGCTTGCAGAAACGGCCACGAAATAATTTTACGGTTTTTGATTCAGGAAAATTGTGATCTTGATGCTACTAGCTGCTCTGGTGAAACGGCATTAATGTTATCTATACGAAGTAAGAAGGAAACCATTGCAAAGACTTTAATAAACTGCAAGGTACAGCTGAACACTCGGGATGTAAAGGGTGAAACAGCATTGCACATTGCTGTGAATAACAATCTCGAAGACATCACGCTCCACTTGATAGATAATGGCGTTGATGTTAATGCCAAGAACAAGGATGGTAACACGCCAATATTTTTTGCAACACGTCCAAAAATTCTCAAACACTTGATCGAAGGGAAAACGGATTTAAATATACAGAACGAAAACGGAGAGACAGCTTTACATAGATGTATAGCAAGAAACAGTGAAGATGTTGCAATCAATCTAATTGAAGCAGGCATAGGGGTTGACATTCAAACAAATAAAGGCCTAACAGCTTTAATGTACGCATCGTATCTGGTCCGTTTAACTATGGTCAGACTTTTAGTATCAAGAGGGGCTGATGTCAACATTCGTGATCTTGACGGAAGGAATGCTTTAATGTTTTTATGTACCAGCTCAAAGTCCAAAGAAAAAGTTCGCATATTCATCCTGTCTACGGAACAAAAAATATGTGATGTTCTTGTTTCTGCAGGGACGGACATAAACACAACAGATAACAAGGGATTGACTGCATGCATGTATGCTGTGCTACAAGACTATTCTGATTTAGCGTTAGTAAAACACATGGCCTCAAAAGGTGCAGATCTGAATGTGTTGGACAACATGAACAGATCAGCTCTTACTATTATTGTATTACGAAGGGGATCAAACACAATAAGAAATATAAACGAGTTGATGTCCCTTAGAATAAATCCATGTGTTCATGAGACATACCACGATGAAGTTAAAGTACTGGGGTATTCCACCCAAGAGGACAACAATGTGTTACGTTTATCAAAGTTTGCTTTAGTTTACAGCAAGTCTGTATACATATTTTATTTCTTCCTAGCCAACGGTATTGTACTGGAACACAAATGTTCAGGTAAGGAATATTGTGATGAATCCGAAATTGAATGTGCTATATCTCATAACTATTTAGATTTAGTAAGATATTTATTTGCCACTGGATATCTATTTAGTGATGACATGCAATTCTTACTCCAACGCCGCAAGAAATTTGATGCAGCGAAGGGATACAGTCATGCATACCATTACACATCTGGTCGAAGTGCTGCACTACCCCCAGAGTTTGATAGGGTCATGTGTGAACCCTGGCCACTGGTTAAGCTGGCTTTCATTAAAGTCTCTAGTTTTCTTGGAACTGGACTAAGGCGAGAGATAATGCTGAAACAATTGAAACTCCCACCAAGATTACAGCGAACGTTGATGTTTCAAGAGCCAATATCAAGATTACCTGTAGAAGACTGGTCTAAAATACCTCTTTGTTTTGACCCAGTACAGTACGAGACTTTACCCTGTCCTAGACCTTTGCTCTACTACTGGCCTGTTGGGCATAGGCTTGTTGATTGAAAACGATACGCAATGTACCTAGGCAGTAATGATCCAGTTTACAAATAAACGTTGTTTAAAAAAGCAACACACTTCCATATGAGGATATAATATAAATGTAGTACACTGTTTATAACATGTACTTTGTTAAAATAAAATAAATTAAACAAATCAACTAAAAATTCATTCGCAACCAGTTTAAGAACATACTATTCCCTAAATTCAACCTTTTTCTTATATTTTGTTTCAATTGTAAGCAACGTCAGTGAAAGCGATGCCTGAAAAGCTATATTTCAGGACGTGTCTTTAATTATCATAATTGAAATATGTAAATGATTGTACTTTAACTGTTATTTTTAAATAAATTATATAAATTAGAAATGATTTTCATAAACTGTACACAAGTATTTAATCTGTATTATTTCTCAAAAACTATTTGTATTATAATATAACCGCAAATGTTCGTTATAAATTAGTTTAATCACCTAATATAAATCTTTAACTAAAAATAATAACATTTAAGATTTTTGTTTTCAAGTTATTAATTACTTTTTCTGTATATATATTTGAAGATCTGCAGCAATTCATTATAAGACAATAGATGTTAAGATAAAAATTTGTTTCATATCCTTTTTAAAATGTATTAATCATTATCTGTTGAACTAATATTTCCATTTCATATTGTTTATTTTATTTAAACAGTATTTGCAGTTGCTTATGTACTTGGGTTTTTAACATCGATATTAGTTTGTGTAGGCAATAAATGTATTTACATTATTTTTTTTTTAAATTACAATTTTATAGTTTAAATAGGACGTTTGCCTTTTAAAATAATTTCGTGTATTCTTTGAGAAATATATTATATTTTTCTATTCGTTAATAATTTAATAATGTATGTTTGTGTTTATATTCCATAACGATATGATATAATATATTTTCTTAGCATTAGCTTCATTAGTATGTTGTTATTGTTTTTAGTACATCACTAGACTTTTAATATTAAGAAAACGGCCTTGTCAATACTTGACTTCGGCCTCATCTTTTAAGACATCTTGCCTTAAAAGACGAACTGTACATAATTTCAGAGACAATTTGTCTTATCCAGATTTAAAATATAAAATAAACCTCATGATACTATCACAATTAATGTAAAATTGTTATTTTATCGTACTAAAGTTTTGAAATTGATATAATGTTCAAATGCGTTTCAGACGAGGCTTACGTTATTGTTTGCTTAGAGTTCAAAATTTCAGTGTTGAACCCACTTGTTATGTTTATGGAAACGAAGTTGTTTTTCTTTTACATGTAGCTGTATTGGGAAAGGGTTAGGGGTGGGTACATGATTAAGTTAAAATATTGTTACGATTAGGATTACAGTTAGGTTTTAAGCTAGGTTTATCAACAGTTACTCGATATGGAGCTGTATTTTGATCAGTTTAATATTTTTTCTAGAGGGTGATAATAACCCAAGGTTGGTAATTTACAGAGGGTAAATAAAAGAACGAAGACAGTATATTGTTTTATTAAATCTACATGTAAGTATTATTGAACTTCATCTACAACTGTATCTAAAACAACTCTTCATATTTTTAATAAAACGAACATGAATTGGTGTTGTTTATTACTATATTTAGCTTAATGTAGGAAAACTATCTCTAACACCGCAATCATATATCACTCTAGCTAGAGATATTTGGATAATCATTCAAACCAGGAAGTCAGCTGTGTGAATATGGACGTGTCAATTTCGCCTCGTGACATGAAGTAACACTGTAGTTTGCACTTCATATGACAAGGTGTGTTTCGGTTGTTTTTTCTTCGCCCGCAGTATTATTTTAGTGCTTCTTTTTGCAGGGCTGCACATTGAGAGCAGTAAAGCCTAAGAACGGTCACGTACATTAAGATCCCTAATATTTAGTGATCGACGCTAATTAAACATATTAGGAATAGATGAAGCCTAAGGGTGCAAGGGATATAGTAAATTACTTAGAGTTAACCTTAATTCAAAATGATTTTGTTGTTAGCAAAACAAGAAATGAATAAAACTTCATCAATAGAGCACACAACTATAAATAATTTGAATAATTCATATCGATCGTACATAAAGGCAATCGATATTTCTTCGAAATTTAAAGGTTGTTTTTTGTTTCTTCGTTTAACGAATCTAATTTATATAATAGTATAAGAAAGGTGGGTTACCACTTGGGAGTGTTAGAGAAATTATCATGTTCTAATCGGTGGGTTAGCTAACTTGAACACTGCCAGAAATGTAATGATTGTCTTCTTTGTAATAAGTTATGAAAACGATCCGAAAATGTGTCTATAAATAAATCTATAAAAAATAATCTATTGATTTTCCATATCTCCGCTTTCTAATATCTCGATCTCGAGGTTTATATATATATGTGTAAATTGCGTTTTAAAGACACGGTATTGCTTTGAAGGTTATTTCATAAAAGTTTTTGAAGGTTTGAATTACGTTGGCTAAGTTTCAAAATACGTATGCATTCATGTAGAAATAGCTCTTGAATTAGTGTGTTTGCCAAACCTATTGGCTTTATGCCAAATTCAGCAAGTTAGTAGAGGTGCGGGATATATCATATAATATGTATTTATACGAGAGAACATTACAGGAAGACAGATCGTGTGGTGTATACCTAATCACGATAAAGCAAGAAATGTTTCAACACTGCATAACACTAGCACAAATTTTCACGGCTCACTGCAGGTTTGTATATGACTAATGTGTTCACTTAAATCGTTAAGTGTCATGTATAGTTAATCTATATATATATATTTATTATATATATGTATATACATAAATTTACAAATATAAATAAATATTTAAATATATGAATATACATATATATATATATATATATATATATATATATATATACATATATATATATATATATATATATATATGTTAGATATTTTTTTGTCTTCTTCATCGTTCTTTATTGTAAGGTTGGATGTGATTTTCTTCCAACACAATATCGAATTACGTGACAATGTGTTATGCGTCTACAGGCTGTTGACACAGTATTTCTGCCTGCTTTGTCCATCCGAGAACAAAACTACAAGACATGAGTTATTTGATTTTGGACATTTCTCTCCCTGGTTGGCTGCTGACCCCAGCACGTCTACCGCCCCCCCCCCCCCCTCCTCCTTACCAAAAAAAAAATAAAATATATATTGAAAATATGTACCTTTACCAGAGTCAGCCCTTACCCCTCCTTGGAAAATTTAGTCCGCCCCCTCTCCCGAAAGTTTTAATAGCCCCCCTCCACCCCCCCCCCCCCCCCCGGAGAAAAAGTCTTAAGGAAACACTGGTTTCCGACTATCGAGCCTAATTAGTCTTCCAAGTTTGAAATCGAAATTTTTCTGTTTACCGACTATGAGTTTTACCGACCATACACGCCGAACCTCTACATATTGATAATTCGTATAATATGTGCTCTGATGACACACACATAAATACACACACACACACACACACACATATATATATATATATATATATATATATATATATATATATATATATATATATATATATATATATATATATATATATATATATATATATGTTACGGTCAAAGCCCGAAGTCGGCCAATGCTAGGATTGGCCGGCCAATCCGCGCATTGGCCATGGTGGACCGGCCAAAGTCTTAATTAAAAGATCATCTGGCTAGGGACGACCGGCCAAAATCCGAATTAGAAGATCATGAGCAGATTTTGTTTTTTTTATGCCGTAAGGATCATGAAATTAAGTCTTTATTGATTATTAATTAAAGAAAATGACAGAAACATTCAAATTTTTTATTGCACTATAGTCTCAATCTATCAATATCATCATTTGTTACAACAAGTTGAACTTTTATGGCATTTAGAATTACATAGCAGCTTGTTTTTTTACACTTGCAGCGATTTGTTGTGCACTTAGTTGTGCAATTGCAGCGAGTGTAGCCTTGGCCCCTAGTCAATGATTGTGAAGATGCGATTGTTCGTAGTGATTTTTCCTCAGTGCCAACTGACGACAATAAGAGCAGTTTTTCGTGAAGAATTGAAAACTCACTTCTAGCATACGGTTGTTTTAGAACACCATGTTCCGTTCCTAAATAGTAGAAAGCGCACTCGACGCCCATGACAACTGCAATGACGCTTCGGGGATCAACATCTGGTATACGGATGCGTACATTGTCACCCACTTCAGCTTGTTTAAATTTTGTATTTGATGTTTTAAGCATCTTAGCACCTTAAGTTTGCAAGCTAGTATGAGCTGCTGACATGTTTTCCATGATGTCTTGTTTATTGTGACACAATCTGCAAGTAATATTTCCTCCGTACCCTTCGTCTGCTTCATTGGGTATTCCGCAAATAGCATGGACATCGTTGTCACAGGATCCACAAGAATGGGCTGCACTACAATGTTTTTCACAAACTACACTTAATATGTTGGCCATATTATTGTCACGCAGCTGGTCTGGACGTTCCGACACGGCAGCATGTGTATTAGCTGAGGATGTCGTTGCATTTATGGTAACCTCCATTTCTTGTTCAATGTTCTCAAGATCTTCTTAAGTAGCTAACTTATCGAGAGCCTCTCTTTGTAGATTTAAAGTGCTAAGTCCCACTTTTGCTTTGCATCCAAACAAGGCTTCGAATGGCGATTGTTGGATTCCTTGATGAAAATTACAGTTTTTCATAAGACTCTCAGCCCAATGAGCTGATTCATCTGTCTGCATCCATGTCATCATCATGTTTGAACATATTAGTTGGCACGTTCTACTGAACATTGGCTTTGGCTATGCCTGGTTTTCTGTGAACTAGTTTAAGTTCAGGCCACATGTTCTTTGGTTCAGAATTAACTTGATTCACAAATTCTTTTCCATTAGGATTTGGATTATTTATTTTGGCAGCCATCTGGTATGTCTGTCTCTTGATATGACGGTCCTTTTGGTCCATGTCGCATTGCATATAGAATGCTATACAAACAAGAGTCAAACAATACGTTACTCACAATGAATCCGCACCCAGAATAATAAAACGCGATCACAATTTAGTCTAGATAGAACATTGGCCAGGACATCCCGGCCAGTGCGCGCATTGGCCGGCCAATGTACAAAATACGCTGTCAAGTTTAAGAGCTTCGGACTTTGGCCAGTACGTCCCGCATTGGCCGGCCAATGTACGAAATACGCTCTTAGTGCTAAGTTCTTCGGGCTTTGGCCAAGAGAGCCGGCCAATGAGCACATTGGCCGGCCAATCCGGGGTTTGGCCGTACTTCGGGCTTTGACCGTAACATATATATATATATATATATATATATATATATATATATATATATATATATATATATATATATATATATATATATATATATATATATATATATAAAACAAAATGACAATAAAGCGGGAGTAATCTCAACCAAACATTGTCGTATATTATAATATATACGAGATAATCAATATGTAATGTACAAGGAAATTTAGGGGAGATAACTCCCGCTTTATTATAAATAATATTGAATTGAGTAAAAAAAATATTTCTGCACCAAAATGAACGTTATATGTGTATAAATAGGGCGTCAAATCAGTACTTTATAAAGAAAACGTTTTTATTTTTTTAAAGTCAATTAAAGATCCAATTTACAATTTATATCTAAGTGCAGTGTGATTGAGTCATGTCCCTACGCGAAAATTTTGAAACAAATCACTCCTGTAGAAATGAAATTTTCCTGATAAATAGTATAGTTCTTGTATAGGTCTCCGGAAGTCACATAAAATTTGAAAGGCTCTTGAGAATAAATCTAATAACATATACCTATGTAGAAAATTTCGTTTACCTACTTATGTTATATATTTTATTAGAATTTTAGAAAAAATGAAATAAAGAAAAGTACAACGTACAGATATAGGAGGTCACTTAAAATGTGAGAATAGTTCAAGTATATAATCGTATAATTATATTTAAAACTTCGTCTTCCTAACTATAACAGTACTGAAGTTATCCTGTTTCCAAGAAAATAGAGTAAATTACCACTTCCTTTTATCAGAAAGATTTTTAAAAAAAAACAATTCACACTGCATTAGTCTTTTAAGTATTATTATTTAAAATATTGTTTTAGTAAATATATACTTTGTCTTTTATGCGGGAAAAAAATATTTCATTAAAAAACTGAACTGATATTTTAGAATCTTGAAATTATCAATTCTAATTTAAGTATAAGAAATAAGCTACTAAGAACATATCAAAATGATGTCATAACAAGGTTTTAACTATTTTTTATTTATTTTACATACTAGTTTTATTCCCACTAAGTCCTTTTGTATAGTACTAGCCGCCGGTACCCGTTACACGTGAATTAGTTGCCTATATATTTAAATGTTATACTTGTTTGAGAAAAATATTTATAAAATAGTTATTGGTCAAAACGCAATGTGTTGAACAATATTAGTGACAAAGCAAAGAAATAACTAAATAGCTAAAAGTCCGACACATTTAAAATAACAGAGGCTACCAATATCTATTAGAAAAATTAAAACCAATCATAGGCTATACATTATTAGTCAAAAGTACACCAAATTAAATGCACGCACTGATTAAGAGACTTTATGATTCCGTTTAAAAACTCGGCTAATCAGTGGTCATTATGTTGTTTTTTAAAGTAATTTGTATTAGTTTGACCGAAAAAAATTATATATTTCATAGCTTACGTCTTGAAAAGTAGATCTATAAATCTACATCTAAATAATTCATTTCTTTATATGCTAAAATCGGTAGATGACGCCATTAGTGTTGTGAGTTTTTTCCATAGTGTAAACATGTGGCATGTGACGTCTTTATTTATTGCATTCTTGTCACAACTATAAACACTTTTCCGTTTGTATAATTAAAGTTGTGTTTCTACATTCGAATACGCCTTTATTTTTTTCCTTCTTTGTATAAAATTTACTTTATACAATAAAAACATCCAACATATTATTTTCAACAAAAGTCCGTATCAAGTTGTCCATATATCGCTGAAGATACTGATATCATAGCCTGTGAAAATATTTTGCAGACAGAGAGAGAGAGAGAGAGAGAGAGAGAGAGAGAGAGAAGTGGTATTTTCTATTATTAGGATATGTCAGTAGCTTAGCGAGGGGGGGGGGGGCGGGGGGGACATATGTCCCCGGGCGCCGACCTTAGGGGGCGCCAAAATGGGTTGGGAAAATAAATTGAAAGGTCGAGGGGGTGCTAATCGAAAAGTTTGTCCCCGGGCGCCGGGATGGGTCGCTACGCCTCTGGGATATGTGCAGGAGACCTTAATGTCATAAAAATCCTGGCTGAAAAGAGACAGTCTGGATCACCGTAGCTAGTGTTGTACTAGATCAAAATAAAAACAATAGAAGCCAGGTTACAAAGATGAACTCAGAAAAATAGGAGAGTGATTACGTCGTGTGAAAACCGATTAAACTTGACCCAGACTCCTGGCTATAAAATTATCGCGTCCGTTGTTTTGCCATGCAGTTATAAATTCTATCATCTAAATTAGTTAAAATTTCTTTTTATTCCAGCTCTGTAACTGCGAAAAAACTTTGAACCGTCAATCACTAAAGTGAATTATCATTTTCAAGGACAATAGAACATAGGCATTTGAAAAATGAGCGGCAGTGGGATAGTACAGGCGGTTTACAAAGCTGCTAAAACTGGGAATGTTGAGAAATTCGATATAGACACTTTAGATTGCAGAAATAGGTACGGTCAGTCTGCGTTGATGGTATCTGTTGAGGCCAATCATTTGTTAGCATTAAAAACGTTGCTGTCAGCGGGTGCTGATCCTAATTTAACCAGAAACAAATCTAAATATATCACAGCACTGACCATAGCGGTGGAAAAAAACAGAGTTGAATGTGTAAAGGAGCTGGTCAGAGCAGGAGCGTTTTATAGTTGTGAGCGAGGTTTGGAGGCTTTAAAGATGGCGAGGGATCACAACTTCTTGGATGCTGTAGTGGAAGGGGATATTTTTATGAAGAATTATATAGAAGATGCAGAGTTTGATGACACGGCATTTTATGTCGCTCGTGAGAATAACTGTTTTGATTTACTCATCGCCTTACTATCATCAGGGATAAGTATTGATTTACGATTATTGACATATGAAGATATAAAAGGAGATAACGAATTTACAGAAGTGTTTCTCAGATCGCCTCAGATCAATCTAAATGACGAATTAAAAAACTTTCAAACGCTACTAATGGAGGCCATAAGATTTGAAGATGAAACCATAATAAAAATCCTTATTGAACAGAATGTTGATGTTAATTTTCAATGTTTTGGAGAAACAGCTCTAGATCTTGCCTGCAAAACAAATAAAAATACAGTTAAATTACTTTTGGACGCGGGTGCCAAAATAAACGATAATACACCATTTACAGAGGCACTTGAAAAACAAGATAGAGAAATTATGAAGCTACTTATCGATGCTGGCTGTGATATTAACTATACAAATACATTTTACACATCTCTCGGCGCCTCAATCAGTAGTGAAGACGTGGAAACTACACAATTTTTACTTGAACATGGAGCAGATGTAACAAAGGTTGACAGAGACGGAATGACAGCATTGATGTGGGCAGCTAGAACAAACAACGTAAATGTAATTGACCTTTTGTTGGATTTTAAGGCTGAAGTCAACTGTGTAGACCTACAACAGACAACAGCATTAGCTCATGCTGTGATTTGGCAAAACGTTCCGATGGTAGCCAAGTTGATACAAGCTGGAGCTGATGTTAACATCGCCTCTAACTATGCAACAATATTGAGTTCACTATTTTCAAGGAATAACATATTAGAGAAAATTCTGAAGCAAATAAAAAACATTTCTGAAACTAATAACACACCTTTGCATTTAGATGCATCAATGTTTAATAGGAGCAAAGAAATAGTAAACCTACTATTAGGAGCTGGAGCAAATGTTCAATCAGTTGATGAAAATGGTAGAACACCTTTACATATGGCAGCTTTTAAGGGACATATTATAATTGTAAAATCTTTATGTCAATACGGTGCCGACATAAATGCAGTGGATAACTCCGGAAATTCTCCATTGTTTTTTTCGTTGTTAATGGAGCACAAAGATATATCTAAATATTTGCTTGTATGTGGAGCTGATGTAAACGTGATATGTGATTCTCTTACCACGCCTTTATTAGTTGCTGTTTTGTGTGACGACACGGAGCTTGTAAAGTTGTTGATTCAACATGGCGCTCTAAGTGATAAAGGCGAAAATTCGGAACTTTTGTTTGCTCTTAAACTGAACAATTTTGAAATAGCAATTGCTTTATTAGAAAATGGCGCTGATGCTAATAAAAGAGTATCACAAATTGCACCTACTTTATTGACAGCAATGCATATTGCGAGTCCTTATAAGGTTTTTAACGTTACCCATCTAATTCCATTATCTGTTTCTACTTCCAAAAAGATTGAAGCTACAGATATAAAGCGTTTAATCAAATCATTTTTAAACAATGGCGCCAATATTTCAGCCGCGGATGATGAAGGTAACACTTGTCTACACATAGCGGCTGAGTTTTGTAGCGCGGATGTCTTGGAGTTGTTTGTAGCCCACAAAGCTGATGTGAATGTCCAGAATGTAAAAGGTGAGACGCCGTTAATGATGGCGTGTCGGTGTGGTAATGTTGATGCGGTCAGGTACCTTCTCTCTGTTGAAGCTGATGTGTTGTTGGTAAATGCAAACAAGGAAACAGCTTTACACTACTCAATCGTTACACGACATGAATCTATTATTATAACATATTTAATAGAGAATAATGTAAACAAACATGCTCGAAATTGCGAAGGTGACACTGCCTTACATTTGGCTGTAAAATGTTGTTATGAAAACGCCGTGAAAAGTTTGGTAGAAAACGGAGCAGATGTAAATGAACAAAACAACAAAGGAAATACGCCTTTATTTTTCGTAAGAGACAAGAAAATAATTCATTATTTGAAGGATGATAAAACCAATATCAATTTTCAAAATGTGCTTGGGGAAACAGCTTTACATCGCGCCTACAACGACGAAATAGCACTTGCATTATTAGAAATGGGTGTAGATAAGGAAATTCGTACCAATAAGGGACACACTGCATTGATGTACGCCGCTGATGCTCGCAGACTTTCATTAACTCAGTTGTTGATAAAACACGGTGCTAGAATAAACGTTCAAGATAATGAGGGAAGAAATGCTTTGATGTTTGCAGTTGCTGGAGCTAATTCATTTGAGCAGAATTTTGTGTATGGCTATTACAGTGAGTTAAATGAAGTGTGTGAGTTTCTTTTAGAATGTGGTGCAGACGTTAACGCGAGTGATGCAACAGGTTGTACCGCCTGCATGTTTGCCGACAATGAATATACCGTTGAAAATTTACGTACTCTTTTTGCTTATGGAGCAAATTTAAACGCAGTGGACAAAGAAAACCGATCTTGTCTTGTTCATTTTTTGTTAAAGGATGTAAGATGGGAAATAGACGAAGTACTAGAACTTGGTGCAGAGATGTTGGTTGATATCAAGTACAGGTATTTAGTTGAAAACCATGCAGACAAGTATGATAAAAGTGTACATCCCTGTTCAAATAAATGTTTTCAATTTTTCCTAGTTAATGGAATTATTCTTAATCAGCCAATCTATCATTTGGAAAGATACGCCAAATCTAGAGAGAATTTAGATTTTGCAAAATACCTATTCGCCATTGGTATGATATTCAAGTCTGACTTACAGTGGCTTCGTAAGACTAAAGAAAATTACACTGTCTACCCCTTGACTGCAGCGTCAATTATTCCACCTGAACTACAATCAGCAATCTATGAACCCTGGCCACTGGTCAAACTAGCTTTTATTGAAGTCTCCACCTTACTTGGGACTGGGCCTATGAGAGAAGAAAAACTAAAACAGACCAAACTCCCACCAAGATTACAGCGAACGTTGATGTTTCAAGAACCAATATCAAGATTACCTGTAGAAGACTGGTCTAAAATACCTCTTTGTTTTGACCCAGTACAGTACGAGACTTTACCCTGTCCTAGACCTTTACTCTACTACTGGCCTGTTGGGCATAGGCTGGTTATTTGAATGTTATTTTCAATTATTACTTTGTCATTTGAAAACTACATCAGATCTCATAAAGTTTAAATTACATTTATATTTTTCTTCTTGGCCAGACAAAAACCAACACTCAGCCCTATTTGTTCTATTGACCCTGAGTGAAAACACAAAATTACAAGATATTAATTTTACTGTATTAAACATTAGAAGCTTTTTATTTAATTTTAAAACCTGTGTGGTTATTGCTTGCTATCTGTCAGGGAGAAGTGTTAGAAGTCGAACTAAATCGGACGGTTCCCGACAAATGATATTGGACAAAATGACAAAGTAAATTATGACAAATTACCTCATGGAAAAAAATATATCAGGACAATTGATATCATAGACAAATTAACTCAGACCAAATATCTCAGACAAAATACTTAACAGCAAAATATATTTAGAAATTGGGATGATTGTAGTTGACTTTTTAACAAAAAAATGGAGGCGACTAAGTTAACGAGAGTCCTTCCATCATATTGTTGACATGGATTAAAAACGCGCTTTTTAGATTTTGCAATCAAAGCGACCATTAAAATATTTAAAAATAAAAATTTAAGTCTAAAAACAATTCAGAAATAATTTTATATTTTTAAAATCAATGTTATAAAAGCTGCAAATCCAGAGAACTTGAAAATAATGTGTAGAGTTTAAGGCTACATTTCTATTTATTTTCATCTAAGTTATAACCCGATGTTTCACTTTCGTAACACAAACATTGATTGGCTGTACATGAACTCCGTGATCAATTTCTGACAGCCCCACATCATAGTTTTTTATTTACAAAAATTTGCAGACGTTTTTAAATAACTATGCATATTTAAACCATATGACCTAATTCTCCCTTTTTTCGCTTACAATTTGTACATTAAAATGTATGCTAGCCAATCAAAGAGCAGGATGCCATTGTTTATGTCGCCATTACACGTGAAAACTGTGATAGATTGGAATAACTGACGAGAAGCCACATTGGTTGTTAACAGTAGTTTATTCACACCATGAGGAAAGAGAGAGAGAGACGGAAGTGACGAGACACATATATACATAACATGTAAGGGACATCACTCAAGATAACAATATAAATATAATACTAATACAGAAGAGTGAGTTCCCTTGACTTCACAAGTCTCACTATATTACATCCCTTTACCCTTAGTAAACACAACACATCTCTCAATAGAAAAAATTACAGTATCCTAAAATCACCAATTATATTGTAACATGAACACTATGGTAGATTACATCCTTACAAACAATGCACAATATGTTACAACATAATTAAAATACAAACAATGATGTCAAAGTCCTTTTGACCTTTAAAATCATAGGTCTAACTTATTTGGGACTTTGATTGTCCTGTTTGACCTTCTCAGTGGCCTTTGATTTGGTGACTCAATATTCTGACCATTTGGATTCTCTATCTCAGGAGGTCTAGGATTTAAATCATTAACTCCAGAATTTACATTTTCTGACTCTAGACAACTTGGTTCACTCATATCAACAGAACTTGGTTGTGGAACAAACTGAGTTGGTGTGAACTGTTCAGATTTGGTGGGATTGACAGATTCACACTTATTATCTGCACAAGTTATTTTTAACTGGTCTGCATGTCTACGGACAATAAGTCCATCATTTGTTTTTACTTTATAAGACACAGGTCCTGTACATTGAACAATTTGACCTGGTATCCATTTTTCCTTTCTCCCATAATTTCTTAGATACACATTATCATTATATCCAAATTCTCTTTCAATGAATGTTTGTCATGATTTAATGGAACTATTTTTGAATTGGCATCTGAAAGTATTATGCTGTTATTCAGATCCTTGACTGACATAGATTTCTTTGATTGATCAATTTCCTCAAGTAATCTGATAGTGCTTTTTGGTAACCAAAAATACTGTTTAAAAGTAATATCCTGGACTATATCACTTTGCAACTGTGATCCAGTATTTGAAGTGGGTGTATTAAATGGCAAAAATCTTTTTTTCTTTTCTTTTGATGTTACCCTTTTAGTTTCTGTAAGTGCTAATGATGTTAGCAAAGTTGTTTGATGATCACATTACTTCTTACTAATGTATTCTCTTTAAAAGCATTTGAAATTGCCATATCACCATAATCATTTATTAAGTTACAAATACTTTGTTTAGGCAACTCTGACTGATAATGGACTGCATCTTCTCCATCTTTTATATTATCTTCACAAAGGTTTTTATTTCTTATTTAATATGGCCTTAAGTCATCATTCACAGACTCTTCAGGCCAACCATTCTTACAGTACTCATATACTTTTATTAAGCACTCATCTTTTTGTGTTTCTCTTTTAATATCATTCACATCTATATTGGAGTTATCCATGATAGTGAAGAGAACAAATACATCTTCTGGTACATAGCTAAGGCTTTGGTTTTTTAAAGGTAATCTACTAAGACTATCTGCACTATTCTCAGATCCAGGTTTGTATTTCAATTCATAATTGTATGCAGTTAGTGTGATAGCCCATCTTTGAATTCTTGGTGAGGCATGCTCAGGTAGGGTTTTGTTTTCTCCAAATAAACCTAGCAATGGTTTATGATCTGTAAAGATGGTGAACTTCCTACCAAACAGAAACTTATGAAATTTCTTAACACCAAAAATGATGCCTAAGCCTTCCCTATCTAACTGAGAATAATTTTTCTCAGCCTTTCTCAAAGATCTACTGGCAAAAGCAATGGGTCTGTCACCCTTCTCATCCATGTGGGACAAGACTGCTCCTACACCATCTGGTGAAGCATCCCATGTTAATATAAGTCTTTTCCCTGGGTCATAGTGAGTTAGTAAGGTGTCAGAAGACAAAGCCTCTTTTGCTGTATTAAAAGCAGTATCTTGTTGTTTACCCCAGTGCCAAGTTGCATTTTTCTGTAGCAGCTTGTACAGTGGTGATAGTTTACCAGACAGATTCCCTATGAACTTTGCATAGTAATTTATCAAGCCCAAAAAAGCTCTTAGTTGTTGGGTATTTTCAGGTTTGGGTGCTTCTTTAATGGCTTTTGTTTTCTCAGGTTGAGGTCTGATGCCTTGTTTGCTCAATATATAACCAAGAAAACTAATTTCTGTCAACATGAATTGACATTTATCTTTGTTTATCTTTAAACCTTTTTCACCAACAATTTTCAATACTTTATCAAGTGTTTTAAGATGTTCAGTGTCATTCTTACCAGTTATGTACACATTGTCAAAGTAAACACAAACATTTGGAATATCCTTAAAAATACTGTCCATGACAGCTTGGAAAATTCCAGGGCTAGATGATATGCCAAAACATAGTCTTTCATATTGGTAGAGTCCTTTATGTGTGTTTATTGTCGTATAGACTTTTGAATCTGGATGCAGTTCTAGTTGAGTGTAAGCATGACTAAAGTCTAATTCAGTGAATTTGTCTCCTCCTGCCAAATTCAAAGAAATTTCCTCAATGTTAGATATAGGGTACCTATTTAGCTCTATTTGCTTATTCAGTGTAGTTTTATAGTCTCCACAAATTCTTATAGAACCATCCTTCTTTAACACTGGCACAATGGGCGTTGCCCAATCGGAATAGTCTACCTTCTTTATGATGCCATTAGATTCCAATCTACTTAGCTCATTTTCAATTTTATTCCTCATTGCATAAGGTGGAACTCTAGCTTTGCAGTATCTTGGATTTGTGTCTTTAATGCTTATCTTCACTGTTCTATCATTTAGTAATCCTGAATTGCCAAAAACACTTTTATTTTCAGATATTACTTTATCTAGTGAAGTAAGACTAGATTCTCCTGCATTGATCAATGAACATATACTCTCCCAATTTAACTTAAGATTACTTAACCAGTTCCTACCTAGTAATGGTGGTCCATTTCCTTCAACCACAAGAAGAGGAAGTTTAACACTTTGACCATTATAACTTACATGAACCATACACTCTCCTATTACCGGAACATTGTCACCAGTGTATGTTGTTAGACACTTGTGACATGGCTGTAGAGGCACTGATCCTCCTGTCAAAATCTTTCTTTGTTATGACTGTTAGAGATGCTCCAGTGTCAAGTTGGAAGCTGATGCTCTTACCGTTGATATTAACTAGTACATTGATGGGAGCATGACTTATTGATTTCACAGAGAACAGGTTGAAATCCGGCTGCGAATCAGTTTGAGCATTTTCACAGGTAGAGTGGTTCATTGGTTGGGTTAGGTAGTCTTGGTGAGAGTTAACATAGTGCTGCCTTTGATTGCGGTACTGTCTTGACTGGCTAGATTTAGCAACAGACGAAGACTTTGCAAAGCAGGCCTTGGCAATGTGACCTTGCTTACTGCACTTATAACAAGTTGCAGACTTGAACTTGCATCGATGAGATGCATGGGGACCTTTGCATCGATGACATTTTTGATGATTATTACTAGATTTAGATCTAGGATTTGAACGTGCAGGATGTTTAGCATAAGTTGGAATGCTCTGATGGGGTTGATGTTTATTGACTAACCTGCTGTTTACTGCATGGATCCCTGAAGGTGTTAGAGATTTTGCCGCATCTGATGACTGCTGGAATGAAGTTGCGAGTTGTATTGCTTTTTCTAATGTTAGATCTGACTCGAGCAGCAACTTTCTTTGAATATCAAGGCTGTTTACACCTGTCACAAACTTTTCACATAGTCTGTCAGACAGCGTGTCTCCGAATTCACAGAATCTACTTAAATGACGTAAAGCAGCAACATATTCTGATATTGACTCGTTTGGTTGACGAGTCCTACTGTCAAATCTAGCTCGACATAGAAACTTTGATGGGGTAGGCGCATGGTGGTCTGTTAGCAATTTGCTCAGCTCGTTAAAGCTCTTGGTAGTTAGACTAGCTGGTGCGCATAAGTCCTTTAGTAGCCTAAATTGTTGAGGCCCTATGACTGTTAACAAAACAGCTCTCTTTTTGGCTTCTATCGTCACGTCGTTTGCTTCAAGGTAAAAGCTTAACCTATCTAGGTAATCCTGAATGATTTCATCATTCGAATCAAATTCTTTTATTTGGCCGTACAGCGCCATTATTCTAGAAATACTTAGCTAATATGCTCTAGCAAACCTCTTTTTGAATAATTAGGTGCTCTTTCTAGTGGATTATTTATCCTTCGTCGCCAATGTGATGGATTGGAATCACTGACGAGAAGCCACATTGGTTGTTAACAGTAGTTTATTCACACCATGAGGAAAGAGAGAGAGAGACGGAAGTGACGAGACACTTATATACATAACATGTAAGGGACATCACTCAAGATAACAATATAAATATAATACTAATACAGAAGAGTGAGTTCCCTTGACTTCACAAGTCTCACTATATTACAAAAACAAAATTGTTTTTCAAATAGCTTTGCATCCATTCTTTAGTAAAGTACGAAAATAACGGACACGATTTTAAAACCATATTAATTATAACTACGCAGCGAATGATTTTAAAAATTTTAATGGACCGATGGAATAACTTTGAGACTTTTCTCTCTTGGGTCCATTGATAGTCGTTTGATATTTTTTTTACTTTTTTTGCACAAAATAAATGTGTGAACTTGTGTGTCGCATGTTTGTCAGATTACATTAAACATTTAAAATTGCAAGTAGAAATATAATGATCGTAGATTTCTAAACCATTTATTGGCAAGTGGGTAGTGGCGTCGCTAGGTCACCCAGTGCGGCATATATATATATATATATATATATATATATATATATATATATATATATATATATATATATATATATATATATATATATATATATATACATGTGTGTATGGCTTTTTTTGTCGGCCTTCGTAGGCCCATATACACGTGCAATTTTATCTCGTCTATTAAAAATTTTAATCTATAGGAAATTGAGCTATATCGCGACCAAAGACTGGCAAAGATATTTTTGCAACGTTTGAATCCACTAGAAGCTATTTATATTTTATGGGTAAACTTTTAATGAAGTTAATACAAATTCAACCTATGCCATTATACCTAACAACAGTCAATGTTACTTAGAAATTCAAACGGATTAATTATCTATTATGCTATCAGAAAAAGATCTAATATTCTATGCCTTATGTCTAATTTTTGAGTAAATTCCGTATACCAGAAGTAGTACATTATACTATATCCGATTTCTCAAAAATCGCATATTAATTTATAAAGTACTAATATTGCTTTTTCAACGAGATTATATTCTATTTTAAAATGTTTAAATATTAAAAATTGATTAAAAATCATGTCTATATCTTGAGTTGCTATCCCCGTAGTGTTATATAAGAATGTTTGAGAAAGTTTAAGGGAGATCACTACCGCTTCATTTTACTGGTGTCGCAACAACCCACCCCCCCCCCCCCTCCACACACACACAACACACACAGGCTGTTTATTTGGAATTGAGTTTTGGTAGTTTTTTAGCAGTCACGCCCGAGCTTCAAACGATAAGTTGATTTTTAATTTTCTAATGCGGTGTCATCCCAATCCACTATGGTGGATGTTTTTTGTTCTTATCAGTTTGTACATATATCATGTTATTATTAATCGACCTATTTAATGGAGTGAAAAAAAAAACTTTTCATTTTGAATTATCAGATGTAGTGTCACCCCCACCCCGGTTGTTGATTATCGTATCAGATATTGAAAAAATTAAAAATAAACAATTTTCCCTTTGTAAATATTCGATGTAGCAACTCTAACCCTATAGTTAGCAAGTTTACCTCCTTGTGTCCTGCATTATCATAATTTAAAAAAAAAAGGATTTAATTTTATTCTTTTTAGTGCATGAATAAAATTGTATAACTAAATACATATGTTCAGGGTTTTTAAAATATATTAGCCGTTGGTCTACTTAATTGACAAATTCAAACATTTAATAAAAATTTTTAAAGTTATCTAACATAACTTTAACTGAAATGTTATATTTTAGCGTTTGACAATTTTACAACTCTTTTTTTTACTTCAACATCATTTGTATGATGCATGATGATATTTGAGCATTGGTTTTTTAATACTAATGTATGATTGTTGAAAACAAACATTTTTTTTTATTATATAACTTACTTTGTTTGCATCTATAGTATGACAGTACATTCAATTTGTTCAATTTTCATGCCATTTATAAATAAAATTATTCCTATTTGTTATCTAACTTTAAAGTAAAATTTTGTCCTGCTTTTATCAATATTATCACATTACTAATTGTAAAATGTAGATTAGAAGACGTAGGCCAATAATTGTATTTTTTTTTCATGTTCAGCTTAGCCTAATAAAAGATACGAAAAAATTATATGTAGATGCTGCTTTTTTTTTTTTTATCATGGCTGAGTAACAGTGACATCTCTTTTTTAGGAAAAGTAACTGGTTTCTGAAGTATTTATTGTTCTTGTATCATGCGGAAATTAAGTCACACATCTCGCTTTCTTCTTTGTTCTATATTGTAATGTTGGACGTGATGTCATTTAAAACAAATAAATATTACGTATCAACTTATTATGCGTCGTACAGGTTGTTGCTTCCGAATTCCGAATTATATTAACACGTCTAGATAAACAAGAGTTCGCGTATTTTACAGCAAAACTAATTAAACAGGAGATAACACAAAAATATATATGGTAGCCACAACGAAATATACCAATAGCTTAGACAAAACAATTGAATTAATAAAAAAAAAATTTAAAAAAATCCATAGCTTAGACGCGTACGCGATCGATTCCAGATATTTGTTTGGTTAAACTGCTCTTAGATTACAATAATTTGTTGTCTTCAAACACTTTATTGTTAGAGCCTTATGTAATCAGAAACAATTGGAATACTTTGGACAGAAACCGCATTGCATGTGTCAAGAAACTGATAAGGCTGGAGCTTTCTCTTCGAAAAAGCTATGGATGGATGATTTTAAAATGGCGATAAATTACGACTACAAAGACAATGTGGTTGAATGCATTAAGTTCATGAACGAGCTTACGGGAAGTTTGAATACATGTATCCTTAATAGTGTACCGCATTTTTTTGAAAGAACATAGGCGCCCTAGTGCTCACGCGAAAGCAGGGGCGAAAAATTTTACCCTGTCAAGGCAACACCCTTTAGAAAATTTTAAAAACCTTTCACAGCATCATTCTCAATAGTTCTAAATTTGATGGCGATTGGATGAAAAGTGTAGAAATGCAGAAAAGAACATACAGGCACACTATTACTTACATTTTTACAAGCTTTTATTTAACTTGCTTCCTAAAAACAATTAAAGTGCTAAAAATGAATTACAAACGTTTTAATAACAAGTTTTTTATGTAAAAATACACCAAAAAGGAGAAAATAAACGAGTTTCTTTAAATATATTATTTACTATTTATATATATTATATACTATTTAAATTACTATAAAGAAAATATAAAGAAAATCGTGGGTTTGATAACGCACTGCAGCAACCACTTCGTGTCTTTATGGACTAAAGTTTGCGTGTGAATGTGTTAGTCTGGGGTATATTATTGGCCAACTGCCAGGGATTTCGAGAGAATTTGCATTGGGTTTTCTGTTGTGTCAAACGTCTAGATAATTATAATCACTTTACTTTCATTCTTATCATTACAATACTTAAAACAAATATACTCATACTGCCACTACTAAAATTGAGTCGATTTGATCTTTAGATAAAGAATATAGATGCAAATACTTTACACACTTGGTGTTTCTATTTTAAAAATTCAAATATGAATTTTATCAATACAAATATAGCTGTTTTTGTATTAGGCCTTCATATTTAAAATAGCTTGCAAAAAAATGGTTTGGCATTTGTGCGTTTAAGGCTTTTTAACATACAGTTTCAAGTATTTATCATTCACACAAATACACACAGACGCACATATACACACACAAATATGATGAATTTAAAAAGAGCAGCAAATTATTGAATGAAAAAGACTAAACAAAAATATGCTACTGATAAATATTGAATAATATTAATAAATAAATTGTACATGTGATTTATAATTCTAGTTATTTTAACACAGAATTAAAACGAAAAAAAATGTGAATATTTTTGTTGGCCATTTCAAATGCCTGAAAATATTTTAATCAGATTGCACATATACTTCTAATGAGGTCTTTTGTCGTTCAACAAAATTCTATTTTCTGACTAAGCCCCAGAGCCAAACGCACACTCTAATGACGTCTCCAATCAAAATTAAGCCCAGGACCAGAGTGACCAGGGCCACGCCCAAAACACCCAGCCCAGCAGAACTAGGTCGGGCGTCCATCACACTTATCAACTTTCTCTGGTTGGCGGACACGTTTTTCACATCCATGGCCAAGCCCTGTTTCACCTTATCAGCAATGACCTTGACCTCGTTCACCGTTAAGTTTTCAATGGACTTCAGAAAGGTCACTCTCTCCAAACATTTTTGGATCATCTCCCCTTGCTCTGTTGGGCGTGATGTTGATTCTGTGTAGTTATTTACAGTAGGTGTACTGGATGTTGTCGATGAAGTGTTGGCTGTTGTCATCTCTTGTTCTACCATAGAACAGTTCATCTTGATCAAAGCTGGCATGCTGATCTGACTCGATAGGGGAGGTATCGTGGTGTTCTGGTTTATAATGTTTGTATCAATTGGGGGCTTGTCAAAGATTGAAAAGTTTCCTCCCTAAAATGAAAATACATTTTTTCTTAAAAGATATAAACAAGTAATTCGTTTTATAGTTTCATTTACATTAAGACGATATAAACTACATTTTTTTTGTAAAATATATTTTGTTCTAAAATGAAATTTAAATGATGCCTTGGGGCTCATAAAGTTTTCGCTGAAAGATTTTTAAAAATATTTTAACAATTATTTTCAAATTCTTTAAAATATATGTTCTTAAACATCTGGGTATAGTTACTTTTATTACGCGACATTTGGCGAATACAATAACCTGTTTTAGTTATTATCTATTAGGTTCTAGTTCATCTAACAACAACTTACAACGTGGGCTATGTCCACTGCAGTACAGAACATCCCATTATCCTTAACCACGTAAATCTCTAGATAGAAATTCATTGCGCTTTTTGTAGAGACCGTATGCATACCAACCGTAAGATTTCTGAAGAGATTTTAAGTAAAATAGTTTAAAATGTAAGTTTATTGCTTTAATATATCAAGGTTGTTATAATTATCAGCTGTTCGGTTGACACAACTTAATTCAAAATGCTATGTACAATTCTAATTGGTAATAAATCGAAACTGGCTTAATATTTTCAAGTAGTTTATGAAGGAAATTAGTTCTTAATTTACCAGCAGTTTATGAATTTAATGTTAGAGTAAACGGTTTATCATATGTGAACCAATGAGCTATACCAATGGGAGCAAATATTTCATGTTACCCCTGGTGACACCATCTAAGCTGTAAGTCTTGCTAGTATGGTATTTTGATAGTTTTGTTCTTATGTGTATATTGGGGCACGGGTTAAATATATCTGTTTATTTATTAGTTTTGTTACGTTAATTATGTAGAAATTCGAGTAATAGGGGTGGGGGTGTTGGAAACCTAAACTAAGAGTACACTTCTTAGAGACAGCACTGTATGTACATCCGTAAACAAAGTACTTGTACCTATATCTGATTTTGTAGGTAACGATAGTTTAAAGTCTTAAATTTAAAAAAACACGCGATAAAAAAATCGAAATGTTGTAGTGAGAACTCACTCTTTCGTCAGCACTATGTAATCACTCTTGCAGTCAACATCCTGTGCGTTATCTTCTTGAAAGGTATTTCGATTTAACTTCAAATAGCTTTTGTACCCCTGGAGAAATATATGTATATATATATATATATATATATATATATATATATATATATATATATATATATATATATATATATATATATGTATATCTGCCTATAAATATATATATATGCCTATAATATATATATATATATATATATATATATATATATATATATATATATATATATATATATATATATATGTATATCTGCCTATAAATATATATATATGCCTATATAATATATATATATATATATATATATATATATATATATATATATATATATATATATATATATATATATATATATATATATATATGATACTATTATAATTTACGAGCCGAGCCGCGGCGTAAAGTACGCCGCTATTTATTTTGTTTTATTTTCTACTTTTCAGTAATTTGTGAATTCGACACTAACACTGCTGTGGCTGTAAATATTTTGCTTTAAAACACTATCACTAGCTCGTGAAAGACGAGCCCCGTTGAAAATAACCGTCCCTGACGACAGTTTACAGACGACAATGAAAAAATCAAGCAGAACATGTTACCTCCCCTTAGTTTTAAATCGTGTATAAACTAAATTATCTGCCGCTAATAGCCGTCACTAATTCGTCCCGGCATTCCAATTGTAAACATTCGGCGTGAACCACAGCTCACCAAAATGTAAGCGGTAGGGGTGATAACGAATTGGTCTGATGCGCATGCCTTGAAAGCGGGATAGGGCTGGAGGATAGTTAGAAATACGGCGTGCGTGTTGGTGGTGTCGCGCAGGGTTGGGCGACGTAGAGCAGTGGCGTAGGCAGGGGGGGGGTTAGGGTGGTCATAACCCCCTACCATAGACTCTCGGTGTATATATAAAAAGTATGAGTGAGGGTGCAAATCGAAAGTTTGAGGGGGGGGGTGCAAATTGAAAGTTTGAGGGGGGGGGTGCAAATCGAAAGTTTGAGGGGGGGGGTGCAAATCGAAAGTTTGAGGGGGGGGGGGGTGCCAATCAGAAAGTTTGAGGGGGGGGGGGGGGTGCGCATCGGAAGTTTGTCCCCGGGTAAAAATTGGAACCCCCCCCCCTTGAGACGATCCTGGCTACGCCACTGACGTAGAGAATTATTTAAATAGATAGACTTGATTACTACCTACTGCACATACCTTTAGTATCGTAACTGTAATTTTGTTGTTCAAAAACGGCTGACTGATCTGCAAGATGTACGCGGCTCGCCACAAACTGGGGTGAGGGACGGTGGAGGCACAAGCCACGGTCCTGTTTAACATAGTTATGCCTCTTAGAAACTTCAAGAAGGAGATGGCTTTGGTGTTGTTGATGACCACGTTGTTTAACAACGTGAAGAACGTCGAGTCGCCGGCCTTGTTGAAAACTGCGTACGAGTTCTTTTTGTTCCCAATCTATTGATACGAAATAGTTTGTAATTTATTCAAGTTTTGTAATTGCTCAATGAAAAAAGGATACAAAATAATACTTATTATCACATTAAAAATATTTCTATTTTATTTTCGTACCCTTATAATAACTGTTTATATGTATGTTTATTTATTTTTGGGATAAATCTAAAATTAACGTTGTTTTTATTTTTTTACGTAAGTAAAGTAGTTTCCCTTTCAAACCTGACGGTCTATGGGGCAAGTGAAGTAGAGTTCACTTGTTTCTGTGACCTCGGCATATGAAGAGATAGTGTGGTCAGCACTATGCCCAGCCGCCTTTACTTTCCCTAACGTGAGTTAGGTACCCATCAGAGTTGGGTCACGCAGGGACGGTCTACTGACTTGAACCCGGATTCGAACTCGAGACTTACGGGTTAGCAGTCCAGCTCTCTACGGCTAGACCACTCCGTCCCTTATTTTTTTTACGTATTACTCGTTAAAGGCTTGTTTAGCGTCATTGATCATCAGATGAGGATTCCTGATTTCATTTATTCTTGTTAAATTGACATTGATAATAAAGATATCAAATGATGCATCGTTACAATAAATAGAAAATTTTAAAATTTTCGGCTTTAATTTTCGATCATTAATTTAATATTTATAACGAGCCGACCCGCTGCGTATCATACACCGCTATTTAGTTGTTCTATTTTCTATTTTTCAATTACTCATAATTTGTGAATTCGACAGTACCAATGCTGCCACTGAAAATATTTGCTTCAAAACACTATCAGTAGGTCGTTAAGGACGATACCTCACCCTCCTTTTCCCAACCCCTACGCTACCATCCCCCCCCCCGTGAAATCAGCCTCCTCTTAGTTACCTCCCCTAAGTTTAAAATCGTTTCAAACTAAATTATCTGCCCCTAATATGCCGTCACTAAACCCGGCTCTACGATTGTAAACATTTAGCGTGAACCACAGCTCACCAGACCATGTAGGGGTGAGGGGGCATGGGATATGCTTTGAGAGAAAGAGAGGGGGCTGCTAGGAGGCGCGCTTACAGCTTCATGTTTTCTAGGGTATCCAAGAAGAGAATTATATATATAGATTAAATTACAGTTTACGATCATCTTAGAATCCACTATTCTCTCGAGGCTCCATTTAAAAATATTCCTGTGTTTAGATGAATTACTGTGATCCCACTTTTAAGTACCAATTGCCAAATGTAGAACCTACCCATAAAACATTTGCATCATAAATGCTGGCCACAACATAGACAGCGTCTAATCTCCCTGTTAAACCAGACAAACTAACTCCTTGTGTCCACACGTTTAGCGGGTCCCACTGGTTGCTAGCGGGTAGCAGTTGTTCAAAGGAAATGTCGTTTTTCAACTGGTGTTGGATACATTTTTTTTTACATTAAATTACAATATAGGTTTACTAAAGAATATATTTTTAATTAAAATTTAATTTAATAGGCTAAACCTGAGCTGAAAATTTCAATCCGAAAGTTGACTCGGCTTTTGATTCAGCTTCGCGGCTTTGGTATCTCTCATTAGCCGATTGGCTGTAGTAAAATTCTTTACAAATTGAGCTATAATGTTATACCCATATTTTAGATACAACATTAATTTCAATGTTAAGAATCCTTAATCACATTATATTTAAAAAAATAAACGTAAAATGTTCTTCAGACATTACCCTATGAAGAAAAGTTGTATTTTGAAAACGATGATCGGTTTTTTTATATTTCATTATTTCTTGAATGGTAGTATTATTATTTACGAATATTGGATTTCTACAATTAGGTCAGGTGGGTTTATAAGCAAAAGTGTTATTTTTCTTTAAATAGACTACTTGAATTCATTGAATTGCCAAAATTGATTTTCTAATATTTTTTTTTGGGTCAAACTTTTAAATATGTTTTAAAAGGAAATATGATTAACCATTAGTACTGAATTTCATTTTTTTTTTCTTTTTAGAAAATTTAAGTGAGAAATCAATGTTTTACCTCATACATACTCACGAACACCGCAACTTTGTACAATGCCATGACCTTTGAACCGGTCAGGTCACCAGAGGTTTCCAGAAAGAAAACCTCTGATTGGTCCAATGTGAAACTAATCGCTTCAGGGGCGATAACTCTCGTCCCGTTGATGATAAACGCTACGGGCTGAGAACTTTCACGGATCGCAAATCTGGAACAAAAAATTTCATCTCGACACCTTTGTATTGCTGGTTTTGATTGAGCAGTAAAGTATGAAAATAAATAGTAAAGAATTTCTTGTTATGAAATGACTTATGCATGCGAAATAAGTACAAGTATAAAAAAAACAATTTTTATAAAATGCATATATATATATATATATATGCATATATATATATATATATATATATATATATATATATATATATATATATATATATATATATATATATATATATAATTATAATTATATATATATATATATATATATATATATATATATATATATATATATATATATATAATTGTCTATTTATCACCAAGTAGAAAATATCTTTCTACGACCTCAATTTGCAATTCTAAAATGTAGCAAATTTTAAGATGAGAATAAAGAGGGTGTGAAAAAAAAATATTTTCATATGTTTATATAAAAGAGTTTTACACTGGTCCATTATCGCATATATATATAGCTTGAACTTTTACAAGTCCATCCTCCCCCTTCCTCCCAACACACCCTTCCTAGAAAAATAACTTCTTATTATGTAAACATACTTTATGTTAAACCAAAACACCAACAGTAACGTTAAACCTTACTATATACATCTAGTTATGTAAAAGCTAACATGAAACACTCCGATCAGTTTAATTTACAACAATATGAATATAACTGTTGTCTTAATCATTCAAATCAATTAATATTGTTTAGAGCAGGTTTGAGTAAAAACAATAAGTTGGGCATTATTGTAGTTTAAAGAATAGCAGAAAGCGTTGATGAAACCACTGGTGCTAGATGGATACACTCTAGTAGCTTTTGATTGTTTTATACGTGTTTCTGATGTCTGACCTTCATGCTCGAGTTATCTTGACAGACATAATCATTGGCATTTATTTTTGAATGGAACTCGGTGCATTATATTTGTGTTCAACATAGAGGTTAGAATAGACATTCAAAGGGTACGTAAATGTATCCTGTAGGCTATATAGTATGTACTGAGGTTAATATGAAATTTTAAAAAAATGCACCGTGTTTCAATTATTTGGTAATGTTAGAATAAAGCCAATCAAATTTAACCTGAAAATGCACCGTGTTCATTTTATACAGCAGGTTAGAAAAGACAATAAAAATAACATTTAAATGCATTGTGTTTCTGCTGTATAGTAAAATAAGAATAATACACAAAGTGAACCTAAAATTTACTAGTACATGATGAGGTTAGAATAGACATTGAAAAGGAACGTTAAATTTGCTATAATATTGTGATTTTATAATAGACAAATAAACTGAACCTTAACTTTATAATATTCTGATGTTATAGTTGACAATGAAACTGAACCTTACATTCACTGTAACATTATTATGTTATAATAGACAATTAAACTAAACCTTAACTTTAGTACATTGTGATGTTATAATAGACAATTAAACTAAACCTTAACTTTATTACATTGTGATGTTATAATAGACAATTAAACTAAACCTTAACTTTATTACATTGTGATGTTATAATAGACAATTAATCTAAACGTTAACTTATCACATTGTGATGTTTAATAGACAATTAAACTAAACCTTAACTGTATTACATTGTGATGTTAAATAGACAATTAAACTAAACCTTAACTTTATTACATTGTGATGTTAAATAGACAGTTAAACTAAAACTTAACTGTATTACATTGTGATGTTAAATAGACAATTAAACTAAACCTTAACTTTATTACATTGTGATGTTGTAATAGACAATTAAATTAAACCTTAACTTTATTACATTGTGATGTTATAGTTGACAATTAAACTGAACCTTAAATTGACTATGTTTTTGTCCTGTATTGACACTACAATCAGTCTAGACGTCCTGTCCTTGTCCTCTGTGTGATGTGTGACAATCATGTACTCTACGTGAAGGACAAAGGACGGGAGGATGTTGGACGCTGATAGACTTTCTATAAGCCCTGTAAAGAAAACAATCGAATGTTAAACAATCATTAGCCAGTGTCATTTCACTACCTTTGTAAAAATGATTTGAGCAATACAGAAATGCAATAGGGCTTGTAAGTAGGTCACAAGTGTCTCGTTTATCACTTGCCAGCTAGTATTTTTAAAGCCAAATGTGAATATTTTTATTAATTTTTTTTTTAATTTGAAGAGTTCAAAACAGATTAATTTAGTTCGAAAATTTATATCTCTACCTGGCTAACGTGAACTTTGAATTTTAAGCGAGAGAGAATGAGACTTACAAGCACTATACTTCAAATTTTGAACATTCATTTTGGACAGAGTTTGTAAAATGTTGACACGTTTTTTTAAAAGTTGTTTTACATTATAATTGTTAATTATTTTTTAACTGAAAACACATGTTAATTACATATTTTTCGTGTAACTTCTAGATACACACTCTAAAAATATCAGTAACAAATCATGCAAGCCAGGCAAACACGTACAATTTTTTTACTTTTATGGACGATGTTTTCAAGTGTGTATGGCCCATCTTATTATAAAAAGAAGTACCAATACTAATTGATGTGTTAATGAAAAGTAATTAGTGCGCACTTTTTTTCAAAGATTAATTTGTCTGTGGAGTCAATTGAAAAATTCGCTTGTTGCGCTTTTAAATTCTCCTTGGGGGACGAGCGAATCTAGTTATAATATATATTTTCTTTAGAGATTCTTCACTTTTTCCTATTTATCTTGGTGAGGAGTGCCATTATATGTCTGAAATAGTCTCCAATCAGTACCAATCACCACATTTAAACTAACAAAAAAAAGAAATTCATGTATCTTCAGCTAATTAAACGCGTGAAACTAAGTTTGTTATAGTTAGGAAACGCTTTATTTTTTCTTCTCAGCAAGATATAGATCTACTTTTATGTAATACTTGAACACATTATAAGGAGTGAGTATAATGTAGTACTACCAAAAGATCCAATCATTTTGCCTGTTCATGAGAAAACCATAATCCAACTAGGTTGGTCAATATTTTATCATGGTATTAATTAACTATGAAGCTTTTGACATTTACTTAATTAAATATTGTTTTTTTTTAATTAAAGGTTGTGGACAATTGAATTTATATCGATTTTTAAATGTTAATTAAATTAATATAAACTATTTGTCGTTATTTTAAACTTTAACCAGGCGTATTTATTTAAATTTGAAAGTTACAAAAATATACTAAACAGGATGAATGTGTTTTGAATAGGTTGACATTATAGATTTTATTTCCTCTAACAAGTACTGGCCTAGACAACTGGTCGCTTACTGTTACCTCGATTGATTAGTTGCTTGATTGCTTTATCAATATTTTTTTTAAATGAATGTCAATGTAAATTTAATAGAACTAACTCCCTTTATATTTACATTTTCTTGGCAGTTTTTAAACTGTCTAAACTGTCGAGGGGCACATTAGTTCAAGAAAGATCGATGGAAAATTTAAAAATCAATACTGATGAAGTATAAAGAGTGTTTTTACTCGAATCCTTTCATTTGTGTCAATTACATAGATTTATCAAAGCCAATAGAAAAAGAAAATTGTAATTACGTCTTTTATCAAATATTATTAATCATCAATCGGATTCATTGCCATAAAAACAGTTTTTTTTAATCTCTTCTTTAGACGAAAATATAATATTATGACGTTTGAATTGTCCGTGCCTTCATCGGTCTGCTGTTCAACACAAACCAATATCCCACTACTTTTAAAGCATTTTGTCCCATACTAATCACTCTTGTTAGACCTGACTTAACATCTAGATGTTTGGGGCATTCATTTAAGACGTCCAATTGGGATTTTGGGGGGGAGGAGTTGCAGGGTGGTGTGAGGGGTGAGGGAGGGTTGCATAATGGGTGGGGGTCGGTTCTAAGGTAGTCGAATTTTGTGGACTTTTGGAGAATGGGGGTTGGAATCACGTTAGCTTAGGGGTAACTTCCCTTCATAAAAAAAAATTCGCATACTATTGTGAATAATAAAAAACCCAAAATATATAATTTAATTAGCAAAACGCCAAATTAGATTAGTTAACAAGCTAACTGATATATTACTTAAGATATTTCAGTTTTTAAAAATCCAAATTCAGTTATTTATTTATTTTTAAGTTCTAAACACCTTTTTAATCGTTTTTACCGACCGACAAAATATGATTTATTAAAGGTCAGTACCTTTGTCAGTAGATAATATAAAAAATAAAAACATAAACTAAGAAGGTCTGTCCAACGTGTCCTATTAAAAATTTCTTGAGCCTTATTGTAATAAGAAATGAAGAAATGAATAAATCAGCAAAATTTACGTCTAAGAAATAAATTAAAATAAATAATTTTAAAATAATTAAAATGACTATGTGGGTTTTGTTCTAGCAACCCGAGTGACAGCTCAGGACTACAAATGTTATTGGAGTAAAAATGTATCTTATTACTCACTGCAAGGCAGGCCACTTTAAATAGTAAAGAAAATTACGTCAAATATTTATTTTAAATGAAATTATATTCTAATTTAAATTATAAATGTGCTAAGAAACAAAGACGTATGTGAAATAATTTAAGTCCTGAAATATTTTTAGTAATATAACTCAATCATTCAAAGTGTTTTTCTGATTGTATTTAACTAATTAGTTTTTTGTAGTTGTTTTGTCTCTTAGTTTATTTCGAGTTTAAAGTTCATCAGAAAATTTTCTTTTCATATTCTCGAATTCGAAGATCTGTTAAGCGTATCCTATTGAAAATTCTAAGTAGTGTGTCAGCCAATAAAAAATAAACCAAAGTCATATCATTAAAGCAATAGCCAACATAAAATGCTGCTTTATAATGCATTAAACTTTTCAATCGGTAACAAAGTCAATTTATATAGACGCCATGTTATGAAAATAAAATAATGTACTCTCTAGTTGTATAATTAAATGTGTATTTTAAATATAAATATATATCAACACTATAACGTTTTTTTAAATAGATCTGTGTATAAGATATGCTATTTTTGTCTATAAATATACGTGCGTATAACCTAAAATAAAAAAGAAAGTTTTTCTCTAAATAAATACATTTTAAAAAAAAAAGTCACACAGTGCTGATGCTCTGGTCAAGCAAGAATGTCAAACATTAAACAAAACAAATTTAAATACAAAGACTTCTCAATGATCGTGAGTTTTAGAAGTATATTGATAGCAAAATTAAAATTTTGATTGTTTTTTTCAGCAGGTCCCTTAAATGGAAGCCTAACAATCTACCGCTATAGTGTTAACTGCAGCTGCCATCACTTCTTTTATTTTACTAACCGGCTAGTTTTAATCTTAAATCATAACTATTTTCTTTAAATAGCCTCTTACCGTTGTTTTGTGTGAGTATAGTGTACAGTGTGACTTGAACACAGTACACAGCATCGATCTTGACTCCACGTTTAGAACGTCCAGTGTCCACGTGAGTCAGAGAAGAGGTGAGATAGAACCTTTGGAATGCGCTGTAGTTTACAATGAGTGTATACGTGGAGAGTTTAGGATGCTGGACAGTTATGTTGACCTCTGTGTTTGTTGACGTTTCTCCTCTTATTTCAAGGTAGGCGGTCAGGTTGGCATTGGGGTAGATGGAGAGGTCATTTGTTGTATGGGGGAGGGCGAGGTAATACGTGTGGAAAGAGAATGGTGGTGGGGTGGGCGCTGCAATTGGACTCGGGGTTGTTGAGTTATGTGTTGCCAATGTTGTTGTAGGGCTCTGTGTTTTAGAAGCAGTTGTTGAGCTTTGTGTTGTTGAAGTAGTTATTGGAATTTGAGTTGTCGATGTTGTTGAGATTTTTGTTGTTGTAGCTGTTGTTAGACTTTGTGTTCCCGATGTAGTTGTCGTGCTTTGTGGTGTTGAAGTAGTTGTTGGGCTTTGTGGTGTTGAAGTAGTTGCTGGGCTATGTGTTCCCGATGTAGTTGTCGTGCTTTGTGGTGCTGAAGTAGTTGTTGGGCTTTGTGGTGTTGAAGTAGTTGTTGGGCTATGTGTTGTTGAAGAGGTTGCAGGGGGTTGTGTTGCTGATATAGTTGTTGGGCTTTTTGTTCCCGATGTAGTTGTCGTGCTTTGTAGTGTTGAAGTAGTTGTTGGGGTTTGTGGTGTTGAAGTAGTTGTTGGGCTATGTGTTGTTGAAGAGGTTGCAGGGGGTTGTGTTGCTGATATAGTTGTTGGGCTTTTTGTTGTTGAAGTAGTTGTTAGGATTTGTGTTGTTGTAGTAGTTGTTGTGATTTGAGTTGTCGATGTTGATGGGCTTTGTGATGTTGAAGTAGTTGTTGAGCTTTGTGGTGTTGAAGTAGATGTTGGGATTTGAGTTGCTGAAGTAGTCGTTGGGTTATGGGTTGTAGGTGCAAAAGTGGTGCTTTGAGTAGTAAGCCAAGGAATGGGGTTATAGTTATCTGATTGAGCTCTACTTTGGGAAGTTATGAGAAACACCAACACCATCATCCGTCGCATCATTTCTGTTGTAAATTATAATATGAATAAGTGTAACAAAAATTGATAATATACCTAAATTTGAAATATCGTCAACCTAACTGAAATCGTACTTAAGTTACCTGTCTACATACAAACAGATAGACGGGAAGTATTACAAAAGTAAGTTTTATCCACCCGTGGAAAGTTAATAAACTACACATTTGTCGATTTAGATTTTTGGCCGATGTCAATTCATCCTTAATACTCCGTATACGATAAAGTGTGCGAGGTGTTAAACAGTGCATACTGTCAAAATATGTATTTATTCAGCACTATTACAATTTCTCCTCTCTACTCTATATTAGAAAATATAGAAAAAATAAGCTTGACTTACCTGTACAGAGAGAGAGAGAGATGTCAAATACACACAATCACTATGTAAATGTGAGCTTCGATATAGAAGCTATTAGACAGCAAAATGAGTTCTTGCTCTGTTTTAACTTGTCAATAGCATTGTTTCTTATTTTGCCCAATCGATTTGTCGATTAAAATATGACTTTGTTTCATACTCTCAACAAAAATGTCAATTAATACAAATTTTTTCAATGCCGCTGCTGCGGACAATATTGTACAGCCAACGAAAATAAAATCAATATAATTGAAAGTCAGCTTTAATTTAATTGTTAGATATAAACATTTTGTTTGGTCATGCAGATCTAACTACTGTACTCTCATTTCAGTGAGTGCAAAAGTTAATGAACACATTGACTGAACTTCGCCATCAAATTCTGCCACATCTCTGCTGATCACATCCCAACTTTCTGATCAATCTTCTTCTTCTTCGTTCTTAATGTTAAGGTTGGAAGGGATCCCCCCTTTAACACAATTAAGTGTACTAGTTATGCACCATAGTGGCTATTGACTCCAATTTCAACCTGCTTTTCTTTTTGGATTTGGTTCCATAGCCTTTGTCAAACCAAGAACGAACAATAAGGCAGCAGTTGTTTGATTTTAGAGTTGTCTCTCCTAGAAGGGTAGTTGTCTTAAGCGTCATCTGCCCCTGTATTTGAACTCGAAATTTTTCGGTTTAGCAGCCATGAGCTTTACCGACACGTCCACGCCGACCTAATCAATAAAACGTTTCCATCTATAGTCTACCTTCTAGAGCACGTAGGGGACGTGTGGGTAATTCGTATCCAAATAGAAAACAACATTAATAAATAAAACTTCAAGTCAGAAGCTATTTGTTTAAGCTTAACAGGAATCTTTATAAAAATCCGAACAAGAAAGTCACGATTTTCATTGTGTTATATTTAATTGAAAGACATTGTAATTGAGACAAAAAATATTAGAATTGTACTAACTAAAACACTAAAAGAATGTTTCAATAGCACTTTCATGAGATATTGTTGTAAGTTGTTGTCTAAGTTTAACACATTATTAGACTTACAAAAAATTTAGAAACGTATAGTGTGTTGCACTGCATGTTATTTGTAAGAACTTCAGAGCAGCCAGTACAGTGAGCGGCCGTGTAATGGGAGGTACACTACAACAAAATATCGCTAATTTAATCAGAAACTATGCTTTCTCCTCCAGTTAGACATGTGATTAAAAACAATGGACTACCACCGTAAGCTTGAATATGTGAATCAAAAGACATGAACCTTAACACATAAGTCAAAAGAAATTAAATTAGAGCAGGTTTTACATGATAACTATTGACAACCAATCTGCAAATTAAAACTGTATGTTTTTGTTTTTGTTTAATTTCCTTCTGGTGTTCGCTGTAGACGTACTTAGGGTGGTCGAGCAATGTCTCAAGGTAACTCCTATTGTTTGAAACATAGATTTACAATCAAATAAATGTATTCGCTATTATAACAGCAAAATTCATTTTAGAAATTTAATAACATTTTCCAATCTTTTTCTCAAAAATAAATCCTTAGCTGAATTGACTACTTTGTTATTAAAAAATCAAATTAAGATTCCATCAATAATTACAGAAAACCTAATATTTTATTTATCTAGCAATTTCAATAATAAATAATGCGAAGACACATTTTTAAAATTAAAACGTGTTGAAAGGGAGATTGAAATTTATTTCTGATGAAAGTGAAGATGAGAGAGAAAAAAGTTTTGTTTTTGTGGCTTTTCGTACATTGGAAATTATAATTTAATTTGCTTCTCTCAAAGTGTCACAACACAATACACGGCATTATGTACGACCTCTAAAATCATGTGTTGTATTTTATTCGCTGATACCCCTCAGCCACACGTACAGTCTAATAACGACACCCACTACCATGCTACCAAACACAAGACTGACCAGGGCCACGCCCAGAAGACCAAGCCCAGCAGAACTAGGTCGGGCGTCCATCACACTGATCAACTTTCTCTGGTTGGCGGACACGTTTTTCACGTCCATAGCCAGCTCTTGTTTTAACTTGTCAGAAATGATCTTCACGTCGTCCATGGTTATGTTTTCAATGGATTTTAATGGGTTAAATACATGAGTCAAAAGAAATTAAATTAGAGCAAGTTGTAAATGAAAACTATTTACCATAAAATTTCAAATTTATGCTTTTTAGTTGTTTTTTTTCCGACTAGTTGTTGTTGGTAGACGCAGTTCGGTAGTGGAGAGATGTCTAAAGGTAAATTACATTGTTTGAAACATATATTTTCTTATCGATTTCCTGGGTCTTTGGGAAAAATAATATTTACAATCATATAAATGTATTCGCTATATAGCAGCAAAATTAATTTTAGAAATTTAATAACATTTTCCAATCTTTTTCTCAAAAATAAATCCTAAGCTGAATTGACTACTTTGTAATTAAAAAATCAAATTGAGATTCCATCAATAATCCCAGAAAACCTAATTTTTTTTGTTCATCTAGTCATTTTAAAAACAAATAATGTAAAGACACATGTTTGAAATTGGAGCGTGTTAAGGGGATTGGAATTTATTCTGATGAAAGTGAAGATAGGTTAGAAAAGGGTTTTTTTGTGGCTTTTCGTACATCGGATATTATAATTAATGTTCTGCTCTGAAATTGTCACGATACTCGAGATTTTGTATGACATCTAAAATATTGTGTTGTATTTTATTCCCTGATACCCCTCAGCCACACGTACAGTCTAATAACGTCACCCACAACCACGCTACCAAAGACCAGAGTGACCAGGACCACGCCCAAAAGACCAAGCCCAGCAGAACTAGGTCGGGCGTCCATCACGCTGATCAACTTTCTCTGGTTGGCGGACACGTTTTTCACGTCCATAGCCAGCTCTTGTTTTATTTTGTCAAAAATGATCTTCACATCGTCCTTGGTTAAGTTTTCAATGGATTTTAGAAAGATAACTCTCTCTAGACATTTTTGGTTCGCCTCCCCTTGCTCAGTAGGGTGCAGTGTGGTTTTCATGTAATCGTATAATGCTGGTGTACTGGTTGTTATCAATGTAGTACTTGATGTTGTTGTTTCCGACCCTTCAGAACGGTTTACAATCACCTCTGACGAGCTGGTCAGATTTGACAGGGGAGATACCGTGGTAGTTTGGTACAAAATGTTGATATCAATTGGGGGCTTGTTAAATATTGAAATATTTTGTGCCTGAAAGAATTTAAAAAAAAAAAGGTTAACTACAGTTAAACTGTAAAATAGTTACATTTTTAAACAGAATGAAATGTTCATGTTTTGAAAATAAAGTACACACTTTTAAAATATAGTAATTTATTATTTTTAGGCCTACTAGGCAACATGTGTTAAACTTGTCCTCAAGTTTTAGCTTAAAATGCTATTTAAGTTACACAGGATTGTCTAAGTGATATTTATAACATTATTTAAAATTATTCGTATGCATGTTGTTGTTCTTTTTTCTCTGACCACAGGTGGTTTGACCGTGTAGGCTTTGACAATATGTGGTTAGTCCACATTTAATTTTGTAATAAAAATAAAATATAAATTTATGAAAAAATTTTAATAAAGTAAAAGCATTTTTTTAAAAAATAATGTGACTGGTAAAAGTTTCACAATTAAATACTGTAGTTCTGCTTAAAAATAAAAAGCATATTAGTAAAAAAAAACAAATTAGTAATATAAAACACGCCCATAATATAGTTAAAAAAGTATTACTTTTATGGTTTTTATCTAAATAACTGATGTGAAATTTTGTAAAAATCGATTGCATCAAGTTTTGATTATATCCATTGCTGCATTTTGATCAAGTTAATCTGTGCCCTGTATGGACAAAAACAGATGATCAAAACCCCTTCGTGGAAATAACTTACTATTTTCAAAGCCCATATAGGTCAAAGCCAAGCTGAGCTCAAACCACATATAGTCCAACCCCTTATGGACAAACACATGTGGCCAAATGCCCTCGTAACTTGCTAGTAACTAACTGTATTTGTAGCCTAATAAGCAACATTTACATTTTCTTTTAAATGTTGATAGAAATTAAAATTCTGCTATCAGCCATCATGGTTAAAGTAGTGTTAATGCTGTGCTATTCGGCCAAAACAAATAGATTATATAAGCCTTGAATTATTTGGTTTTAGTACATCTCACCAATACTTACACTGTGTTGTACGTTAACTGTTGTACAGAACATCGCGTTATCCATCAACCCAAAAATCTGCATATGGAAATTCATCATATAGGAATTGGTCTTGATCGTATGCATACCAGCCGTAATATTTCTACAGAAGTTCAGACTTTTAAAAACCAAAGCTAAGTATTGTTATTGAAAGTTTCAAGTAAATAATTGTTTAGTCAACAAACATTCATATGAAATAAAACATTTACATACTTTAAATTTAAATAAAACTTTGAAAAAAGGTTTGGATTTTTGAATGGTTAATAGTGGAAATAAATCATATACCCCATATCAATGTCACACGATAGTTTCGCAACTAGCATTATAAGTCACGTATTCATTGTTTAAGATAGTATCTGTTTGTCTTACATTTTGGTGAGCACAGTGTAACCACTTGCAGATTCTACATCCTCCATTTCGTCTTCTTGAAATAATGCTCCATTTAACTTTAAAAAGTCTTTGAACTCCTGCCGTTGCATATATATATATATATATATATATATATATATATATATATATATATATATATACATATATCTGTAACCGCATTAATAACACAGGGTTAGATTACTATTACAGAATAGATAAGCACCGACTTATCAATCCACATACCTTCAGTATTGTGATTGTAATTTTATTGTTTAAAAACGGCTGAGTGATCTGGCAGATGTATGAGTTTCTCCACAAACTGGGGTGAGGGACGGAGGCGATACAAGCCACGGTCCTGTTGGGTGTTGTTTGACCTCTCAGAAACTTCAAGACTGACGTCGCTTTGGTGCTGTTGATGACGACGTGATTTAACACTTCAAAGAATTTAGAGTCGCTGGACTTGTTGAAGGTGTAAGAGTTGTTCTTGTTCCCAATCTAGAGACAACATTATTTTTTTTATTTATTAGGATATTCTAGGTCTTGAAGTTCAAAATTACAAAGAAAAATAGAATACAATGTTTACTGTGTTTTTGTATTTGTTTATTATATTTTATTTTTCTTACTTTTTATTTATTGCTTATAATAATTATAATTTTTACAAAATGCATAAATAGTGTTTTAATAGCTAAAAAGGAGAAAATAAATGATTTTCGTTTATTATATAATAATACACTACTATATGAATATTATTTAGAAAATTTATCAGTCATCCTATTAAGTGAAATTTGATGTCAGATTGCATTGTCTTTGGGTCTTGACCAACTTGCCAATTTTGAAACAAGTCGGTGAGTTAGAAATGCTCGAAATTTTGCTTGCCCGTTTCGATCTGTGACGATATGCATACAAAAAGCACGACAAAAAAAACAGACAGAGGTAGTAAATTAAAATAAAAGTTTTTAAATATGGTTGTGTTTTGTTATTTACTTCCCTCGTGCAAATGCATATTTACTTCACGACAATATAAAACAGCATGTATTCACTTGTGAAATTGTATCCTAGGAATTGACATAGACAACTGGGAATCTTACAAATAATAAGTTGTAAAACAAAATTGTGAATATCATGCAGTAGACTATCCAGCTATTTTATATATAGAAGGCGCCAAATTAAAACTTCGCCCCGGGCGCGGAATCAGGTGGCGGGGCCTCCAAACTTACGTAACATACTTCCAAATTTAGAACCTACCCATAAAACATTTGCATCATAAATGCTGGCCACAACATAGACAGCGTCTGTCCTCCCTGTTAAACCAGACAAACTAACTCCTTGTGTCCACACGTTTAGCGGGTCCCACTGGTTGCTGGCGGGTAGCAGTTGTTCAAATGAAATGTCGTTTTTCAGCTGGTGATGGATGCATTTCGAGAATAATTAAAATATCATAAAAATGTGTTTTGAAAAATAAATGCAAAGTTGAAATTATTAGTAACCAATTAAATTTCAGCGGAAGTTTTTTTAAGCAGCGCATTGACTCTTTATTTTTAAACCAGTTTTTGTATTTTTTAAAACGAATATCGTTTAATTAGACATCTTTCTTAGTTTGATGATGATGTTTTATTGCATGAACCTCAACAGTGCACCTGCATTGTAATCACTTTTTAATAAAAAGTGTTGTTTTTTTAAGAAACGATTAAAATATATCGAAATGTCAAATTTTCTTTATTGGAATTTTGTTATTTGTCTCTATTTTTAAATACCAAAACATCTGAAATATGATTTACCCTGATGGTTTTATTTACTTTTATAAAAATGTAATAAAGAGATTACTTGCTGACCTCATTCATACTAACGAACACAGCAACTCTGTACGTTGCCATGACCTTTGAACCCGTCAGGTCGCCCGGAGTCTCCAGAAAGAAAACCTCTGATTTGTCCAATGTGACGCTGATTGTTTCAGGGGCAACAACTCTCGTGCCGTTGATAATAAATTCTACGGGCCGAGATCTTTCATGAATCGCAAATCTGAAACGAAATTCTACTGATACAGTTTTAATGTTGGCCTTGTTTGGGTGATAATTTCTAAAACAATTAAATACAAGGGGGTCCCATACTTATACTAAAATAATTTAAATTCAATACATCAAAGTGAACTTACTTATTTAGCTTTTATAAACTTAATCTTAACTACCTAGTTATATTAAACCTAACCCTTAGGTATCTAGTAATGTTAATTTTAACTTTAGGCATCTATTTACTCGATATCGAAACTTTAACAAAGACGTCATTTTCAAATATAACATTGAATAAGTATCACTGGAGACTTAAACAATAAATTCCTTTTCTTAAAGTCAGTCTAGACTAGAAACAATAAAATACAATTTTCAATCGATTTTTTAAAATTAAAGAACAGCAGTAGCGTTGATTGATTTAATATTGACTGGAAAGATTAATTGAATGTGCACACAATAGCTGCACTTAGATTTTTAAAACTATAATTCAAACGTCATTCTGCTTCATGCTCGATTGGCGTTTTTTTAAATATTAATTGGCATTGATTTTTTTTTAAATACAGCCCTGTCTGTTTTATTTCTATTCAATATAACGGTTACATAGACATTGACAATATTCTATTCAATATAACGGTTACATAGACATTGACATTGTAACTTAAAGTGCTGTTGCCTAGTGGATAATGATGTTAAAATAAATCAGTCAAATTAACTGAAACTTACATGCGTTCTGTCTCTAAAATACAGAACCGATACAATATATATATAATCAAATGTAATCGTTGACCCCCAAGGGTTTTATTAAAAACGAATACAAAAAAACATTTAAAAGAAAACTTCATTTCAATCTGTTTTAGATAGATAGGTTAGATTAGACAATAAAAAAACACTTAATTGCGTTTTTATTACACCGAATCTAGAACGGACAATTAGTGTAAAACTTAAATTCATTATGCTTATATTATATAGTGGCCTAAAAATAGACAAATAACTCTTTATTTATCATGTTTCTACTACATATTAAAGTTTTAACAGACAACCTAACTGAACCTTAAATTCACGGTGTTTCTGTCCTGTATTGACACGATAATCAGTCTAGCTGTCCTGTCCTTGTCCTCTGTGTGATGTGTGACAATCATGTACTCATTGTGAAGCATAAAAGAGGGGTAAATGTAGGAGGCTGTGGCGCTTTCTGTTTGCCCTGTAGAAAAGCAAAAGTATAATACTTTGAACATGTATAATTTTGTATGTGAAACGTGCTAGATACGTTCTAGGCTATAACATGAAGCGGATAAAGAGATGGGGGCTCATTATTTTTAGGTTGTCACAGATTGTCAACAATATTAATATTTATTGACCTAAAATGTTCATAGTGTTTACTATTTAAAAATTGTAAACATCGTAAACTCATTTATTAAAAATTAAGCATAAAAGAATGCGACTTCTGTTTCTTGTAGTTGTAGCTAATGTGTACTGAAACGGTGACAACAAATGTTAAATCTTTTAACCAATTGTCTTTCAGGCTAGTTTGAAAGAAATATTAATTTATTGTTTTAAAAATAGCCTCTTACCGTTGTTTTGTGTGAGTATAGTGTACAGTGTGACTTGTACACAGTACACGGCATTGACCTTGACCCCACGTTTGGAGCGTCCGGTGACCTCGTGAGTCAGGGAAGAATCGAGATAGACTTTTTGGAAAGCGCTGGAGTTTACAATGAGTGTATACGTGGAGAGTTTAGGATGCTGGACAGTTATGTTGACCTCTGTGTTTGTTGACGTTTCTCCTCTTATTTCAAGGTAGGCGGTCAGTTTTGCATTGGGGTAGGTGTTCAAGTCGTTGGCTGTATGGGGGAGGGCGAGGTAATACGTATGGAAAGAGAATAGTGGTAGAGTAGTCCCAGCCGTTGGGCTTGAAGTTGTTGACATCCGTGATAGGCTAAATTCTGTAGGTGTAGTTGTTGGGCTTTGAGTTGTTGATAGAGTTATTATGTTTTCATCTGCAGTTGAAGTTGTTGGGCTTTCAGTTGTTAAACTAGTTGTTGAAATTAGATTTGCTGATGTAGTTATTTTGTTTTCAGTTGTAGATGTAGTTGTTGGGCTTTTCTTTGTTAAACTAGTCGTTGGTGTTAGATTCTCTAAAGTAGTTACTTTGTTTTCATCTGCAGTTGAAGTTGTTGGGCTATAGGTTGTTACACTATTTGTTGGTGTTAGATTTGTTGATGTAGTTATTTGGTTTTCAGATGTAGATGTAGTTGTTGGGCCTTGAGACGCTGACATAGTTGTTGGGCTTTGATTTGTTAAACTTGATGTTGGTGTTAGAGTTTCTAATGTAGTTACTTTGTTTTCATCTGCAGTTGAAGTTGTTGGGTTATGGGTTGTTACACTATTTGTTGGTGTTAGATTGGTTGATGTGGTTATTTGGTTTTCAGATGTAGATATAGTTGTTGTGCCTTGAGACTCTGACATAGTTGTTGGGCTTTGAGTAGTTAAACTAGTGGTTGAGGTTAGATTTGTTGATGTAGTTATTTGGTTTTCAGATGAAGATGTGGTTGCTGGGCCTTGAGACGCTGACATATTAGTAGGGCTTTGAGTTGTTAAACCAGTTGTTAGTGTTACATTTTCTAAGGCAGTTAATTTATTTTTATCTGCAGTTGAACCTGTTGGGCTTTCATAGGCTGACATAGTTGTTGGACTTCGGGTAAGCGACGACAAATTAGGGTAGTTATATTGATTTGTGTGTGAGAAATTTATAAGAAACACAAACGACACTAGCAGCAGCATCTTGGCTGTGGAAATAAAATCATTTAAGGTATAAAAAAAAGTTTACATGTTGCAAATAAGACTATATTAAAACTGTTTTGCAATTACTTTCGTTTTATTTCTATTGACGCTTTATCGTTTCATACTTCAGGACTTCTTAAAAGAAGAACTGTCATTCCAAAAAACTGTAATGGAAATTAAAAAAAAATGTTATACCAGTTTCCTATGGTTCTTGATTCAATCAAATCATTGAAGGTTAGTTGTTTAAGATTTCTTCTTTGACACATCAGTACCAAATACCACTTAAATTCACCGTGTTTTCAAGAAAAAAAATTAAACAAATGGGCAATCGTTTTTAGCCGTCATCATATTTTTTTAAATTCCTTAAAGGGGATATTAATGTCTTCCGAATAACGTTTTTTTCCGATTGATATTGATTTTATTTGCCTAATATTTTTATCATTTGTGTACAAATTTTAACATATATTTGTTTTTCTAAATCTATATTTTCGTTAACAGCAAGTTTCTAAGTTTCTAAGCGTAAATTGTGTACGTGCACAATATACTTTGAGCTGCAGACTTGCGTGTTTTTATAGATATATTACACTTTATCAACTCCTGTAATTTTTTTCTTACAGTGGTTTTAGCCATGTTTACTGTTTGCAACTAGATACAGTATGTGTTGTAATTGTTTGCTTCCATAGAGAATAAATCACAAAATACACAAGTTTTTTTTTTTTTTTACTTTTTACTGTACAACTAGAACCTAAATGTGTGCGGCTTTTGCTCGAAGTTACAGTAAAATAGCAGTAAAATAAATATACAAAATAATTTTTGAAAAAAACAAACACGACTAACCTGTTTAGTTATATAACAAAGTCCCAAGCTAAATGTGTCCCAACTATATCTGCTGTTTGGTTGGCTATGTGTTCGTGTTCTCAGTGATATCTCAACGTATCGATATTACATTGATTTATTTTTTAACTAAAGTCTTACTGTGTTGTAAATTCACAATCAAACGATAATTAATTCAAGCTTTTTAAGTGCTGCTGCGGTGGTAATATTAATATTTAATTAGTGCACAGACGGAAAACAGAAAATCAATAATTTTAAAGTCAACTTGAATTGAAGGCAAAGATTTTAATCGCAGCCCATCTGGCTTCCAGGGGGGGGGGGGAACTACAGTGCCGCCAGACCCCGCAATGCGGGAGGCCCAGGCCGTTTAGGGGCCCACAGCCGACCATAATCAATTATTTATAGTTAAAAAAATTATTTTCTAGTAGAAAAAAAGATCTAATACAGTAGTGATGTGCTACAGTAGCTAATACATGCTGTTTCGTAAAGGAAAAAAAAATAGGATACATGACTTGCAGTGTGAAAGATAGGCAAACGTTCAAACCACATCCATGAATTATTTCCCTTTTTAAAATAGTCAAATATGTGTGCTCTTAAGAAACTTTAAATAAATTTGCACTACGCAAATTAAAAAGCAATTACTTCTCTCAATTATTATTTAAAAAAATACATAATAAAGAATTACATAGTATTAAAAGGAAATGTATTAAAAACTAATAATTTAAATGCTAAAAAACATAAAAATATACATAAGACGAGAAACCATTACACATACAAAGCTTTCATACTTCATATTCTTTTGACCTCGGTGGCAATCTGTCGGACATTAAAACAAAGAACTTCGAAACAGACCAATTTCACCATGGCTCAGAAGAGAATAAAAAAGGAGTTGCCTGATTTAGGCAAAGATCCACCCACTTTTGTCCATCTGCTCGCTGCTCACAGATCCAAATCCTGATGACCCTTTAGTGCCAGAGATTGCTCGCATCTACAAAACTGACAGAGACAAATATTATAAAGTGGCCAGAGAGAGGACACAGAAGTATGCGCAGTGACCAAAAGCAGTTATGAAGTTGTATGAAGATTTGATCAAGTACTAGACTGCATGATTATTTCTGAAACCTTTCACTGATGTATCCAACTGTTACTCTTTGACACACGCATGTAGAAATTATAAAAGTCATAGTTACCCGTATGTAGTTGAATGTTTTGGCCTAATGCTCACTTTAAAAATTTCTAATAAAATTCTTTATTTGATCATACATTTTGTACAGGTGTATCAGTACAGGCCTAGACTTGTTTTACCTTCAGTTTTGAAAAAACTCTTGTTATCAAGCAATAAATGTTTTTTCCTGTAAGTTAAAAAAAATGTTTGGGACGAAAGTCATGAGCATGACAAGTGTGGTCTGTCCATGTCTGGTCATAAGTGTATGTGGAGACTTGTAAATACAACTATGTATTATCAATGTAAAATAAACACTTCAAGAATCTAATAAAAAAAAAAAAAAGAAACAGACCAATGTAGGATAAAAAAAAAAGAAACAGACCATTAGCACTCACACAAATAATGTGTTACATTTTTGAAATTAAAAATAAAACCTAAGAATTGTTTTAAAAATTATTAAAATTTTGATATAGCCCGTAAAGAGTATTCTATGTGCTTATTTCGTATTTTCGTTTATAGGGTCCCATTATATATATATATATATACATATATATATATATATATATATATATATATATATATATATATATATATATATATATATATATATATATATATATATATATATATATATATATATATATATATATTGGGCCCACAATTTTTTTTTTGCGGGGTGGCCCCTTTTTTCTAGTTCCGCCACTGCTGGCTTTGGATGTAATTAAAACGGAACAATAATACATCTGCATGGAAAATAGGAGGCAGACCTTATTTAGTTTAATAGAAGGCTCAATATACAAATATAGGAGAAAAATTCTCGTAGATCAATTTTGGATTTTATCTTGTATAAGTTACTGTATTTTATGACAAAGAAATAAAACTAAAATTCACAAAGAGATAAATGTATCTATAAATTTAAATACATTATTTTTTTTTATTATCAGGTGACGAAACAGAAGCTGTTGTAATAAAAAAAATAGAACAGTTTTTGTTGTTAACTTCTATAGATAAGAAAGCGTGTGCAAAAAACAATTATTAGTAATAAAGAATATAATTTTAAACATGACAATCATAATTGTAATTATTAAAGTAATTATAATAAATTGGTTGTATTTACGAGTATTTGATAACAACAGATTTTTAAAATTGTACAACTGAAAACATTAGCACGTCATTAATGCATCACATCCTGGCTAGGCCCCAGAGCCAAACGCAAACTTTAATCACATCACCAATCACAATGAAAACAAAGACTACCGTGATCAAGGCCACGCCCAAAGCACCAAGCCCAGCGGAACTGGGTCTGGCGTCCACAACGCTCATCAACTTCCGTTGGTTTGCGGATACGTTTTTCACGTCTACAGTCAATTCGTGCTTCACCTTGTCAGCAATAATCTTCACATCGTCCACGGTTAGGTTTTCAATGGTCTTTAAAAAGGTAACTCTCTCTAAACATTTCTGGCTCATCTCCTCTTGTTCTGATGGGTGAGATGCGGTTTCCGTGTGATCATAGACAACAGTTGAGCTGAATGTGGATATTGTAGTGTTTACTGGTTTCGTCAACTTAGTTTCTTCAGTAACGTTCACCCTCATTTCTGGCGTGTTGTTGAGCTTTGATTGGGGAAATACTGTGGTGCTCTGGTACGCAAAGTTAATATCAATTGGGGGCTTGTCAAAGATTGAAATATTTCCTGGCTGAAAAAGGAAGATTTGTTTAAAGAAAAATAGCTGCAGTTAAATTTTACGATTAAAGAGACAAAAAATGTATTTGTTTTCAAAATATACAATACTTGATTTAAAATTTATTTTCCGTCACATGCTGTGCTAAATAAATATCTATACATCTTGTACTTTATTAAAGGCCAACTATGCAAAGCAACTCAAGTTCTAACTATTTACAAAATAATTTTGTTGTTAGCTTTACGTTTTCTCTCCAATTTCTTATACACAATAATATTTTACTATCAATCATATAGGTTAAAGTCTTATGTATAAGACCAAAAATAAATTAATTTAAAAAAAATTGTTTTAGTCTAACTAATGATGACTTACAATGTGGTCAAAGTAAACGGTGGTACAGAACATTCCATTGCCCGACGCCACATAAATCTGTAGGTGAAACTTCATTGAAGCGTTGTTTGTCCTGATTGTATGTAAACCAACTGTGACATTTCTATAGAAATTCAGAGAACTTTACATTATAATAAATAAATTCAGATTTTATTTTACAAAATACACTGACATCGAGTTAAAAGAAATATTTCAAGCAAAGGTAAGACATAGACTGGGAACTCTCACTTAACTAAAAAAAATTGAAATGTTTTTTTATAGGAAAACAATAAATAAACAATTGCACATGAAAGATAACTAAATTTGTCTTAGTGAGGTAGTCACTCCTGTTTACTTGATTAAGCAAGTGAGATGTATAAATTTTAGTGTTGTAAGGGATTCCCCTCTAACACAATTATTAAGCAATTTTTGTCATCTTGTTATGAGCCGTACAGAGTTTCTTCCAGGCATCTCTTCGGGGGGGCTAAGCCCCCCCCCCCCCCCCCGAAAATTTTTTACCGCTTCCCGAACGAAATGAAATTTATATAGAAAATATATACTTTTAACAGTGTCCGCCCCCCCCCCGAAGAAAGTTTACCGCCAACCCGAAAATTTCAAGTGCCCCCCCCCCCCCCCCCGGAGAAAAAAGTCTGGAAGAAACACTGGAGCCGTAAAGCCTGCTTTTCTTTTTTAGATTTGCTCCCACAGCCTTTATCCAAACAAGAACCTAATATACCCTTTAAGATATATGCAAAATGTGTTTACAGTGCATGGAGTATATCATATCACAACCCAACACCATGGGAACTTTATTCTTTCAAGATTAACATCATAGGCCTCTTATTTTGTTTTT